CGCCATTAGCACATTGATCGACCATTTGGTCGAAGGCAAAGACAACTGGCCGACAGTGCTCACAGTGGAAGAAGCACAGGATGAACTGAGTACTAGGTTGAAGATGCCTATGTCAGTAGCGAGGATCGCACTGAACGAACAAACCGAGCATACCAAGCAAGGACAGGCACCCGAAGATGCCAGAAATGACGCCGGCGAGGCGGAAATAAATGGAAATACAGAGTTGGTTGACGAAGAAAATGGAGATGCAGAAACCAGGGAGATACCGCCATTGGCGCCCTTTTCAAAAACAGATGCTGTTTTTCCTTTGACCCCACAGTCAATGTTAGCATCAACAAACAGAGAGCAAGCAAGACAATTGCCAGGAAGCTTTCCAGCAGATATTCCATCTTCTCCACCTCTGTCACCAACCTCACCGTCGCCGAATTCATCAAATTCATCACCGTCGCCGTCCGTTCCGCCTATATATACCCCGAACGAACCTTCATCGTCGCCAGATCCGATCTTAGTGATACCGTCGATCGAAACTAGGGGGGTAGAAGTGGAGATAGACGAAGAAGAAGAGGAAGTGCAAAGACAGATTCAACGAGAACTATCATCCCAACCCTCACCAGACAGAGAACTGTCATACCAGCCGTCAGAGCAGGCACCAGGAGACATATCTGGTGATGTCAACATATCAAATGTCATGACCGGAAGAAGAAACAGGAAACCAAGGGTGGACCATGACTATGCATCATATCTATCTCTGGTAGATGTCCACAATGAAGAAGAAAACTCATCTGGCATGCTCTATGCTTTTACAACAAGCATAGGAGCAAGATTCAGCCAGGCCAGGCTTCATAGAGATCAATTGCCACCAGAGCCAAAGAACTGGGCAGAATTGGAAGCCCATCCACATGGCAAGGAATTCAAAGTGGCAGGTGGCTTCGAAGTCGGGACACTAGACAAGAAAGGGACATACAGTCATGTTCCAACACCGAATATAAAAGGGACACAGGCATTGCCATTGAAGTGGGTATTTACCTACAAATTTGATGCCAATGGCTACCTGGAGAAATACAAAGCCAGAATCTGTGTGAGAGGAGATCTACAGTGGCTGTCTACAGAGGAAAAGAGAGCTGCTACCCTCGCCGCCAAAACTTCGAGAGCTGTATTTGCATTGGTGGCAGCATTTGATCTTGACATGGTGCAGAGAGATGTTGTTACTGCATTTCTGAATTCAGTATTACAAACTAAGGTTTATACCAAGTGAAGATACTTTGGAAGACGCGCCAAAAAAGTTTAAACTGATGGCGTCAATGATGGTGAAAAAAATCGCGATAAATATTATCGATATCTGGTTATATATCTCTTCTAGTATCATTGAAAATTACCGTCAGCTCTGGGCATTTTTCACCGTGGAAACTCTTCCCCTGCACACCTGGGTTTCCGTGGCAATTCAGTTATCCGGCCATGGTCCACGACCAACCATTTATTCTGAGGAACAGACGTAATAATCTTGGAAAATATATGCATCTAAATAACCGGCCCTTACATTTTTTACCAAAATTACAGACCCTCGCTAGCGAGGGTCCGCCAACCATATAGTACGGATCACCCAAATAGCACCCCTTTTTTTAATTCCACCTTTTTAAATTGATCATCTACCACCCCACCAACAATGCCTAAAACAAATAAGGACATCGAGGAATTGATTCTCCAGGCTATGGATTCTCTCTCTGAGCAATCTAAGCCTAATATCAAGAAAACTGTGCGAGAATTCGCGGTTCCTGAGGGCCGTCTTCGTCGGCGCTGGAAAGGTGGAAAATCGCTTTTTCAACGACAACCTAATGGCAGGAAGCTCAATCCTATACAAGAGAAGGCTTTATGTGAATATATTGATTACTTTGACGCGGTCGGAGCATCGATAAATCGTCGCCAAATTGCTATTGCCGCCAATTCAATTCTTGAAGAAGCCCACTATGACGAAACCATACCACCCCCACAAATTGGCGACCACTGGCTAAAACGTTTCTTGAAACGGTATCCCGAGTACTATGTACGACGCCGGCGAGCTCTTGACGTCGAGAGAGCTTCTGCACTTGATAAAACTGTGGTGGAAAGGTGGTTTCAAGACTATCAACGTGTAGTGACTGAGCATGGCATATGCCAACAAGATATCTACAATTTTGACGAAACTGGCTTTCAAATTGGCGCCGGACGCGATCAATTCATCATTACCAGGCATCCAAAAAAGAAGCTATTCAATGGATCTGTCACTAACCGTGAATCTGTCACGGTTTTAGAGGCTGTTTCGGCCGATGGTTTTACCTGCCCACCACTTATAATTCTAAGTGCTAAGCAGGCATTACTACGTTGGTTTGACGCGATTGAAGGTGACGAGCATATATCTGTAACTGATACTGGGTATATCAATGATACTCTAGCATATCAGTGGATTCAGCTCTTCCACAAATGGACAATTGGTCGTACAATTGGTAGAAAAAGGCTTGTTTTATGCGACCGTTTTGGATCACATTTAACGCGTCAATTCGTCCAATTCTGTGAGAAGAATGATATCATTCTATTCTTCTTACTCTCCCATACGAGTCATATATTACAGCCTCTCGATGTTGGGGTGTTTAGCGTGTATAAACACTGGCATAGTGAGGCTGTTGAAGCGGCTACTATGACTGGATGCCGCAAATTCTCGAAGGATAAATTCCTATACTCAATTGGCGAAATCAGAAGAAAAACCTTCCAGCCGCATACAATTAAGCTTGGATTTAAATTGACAGGCCTCTGGCCTATTAATCCTAAGCTTATTACTGATGAATTGGAGTCATACGATCCATATCATGACAATTTACCCCGGCAAGATACCCCGTCAAGTGGCTCTCAAAACACCGAATTCAGCACTCCAAAAACAGCTGAGAGAATTCGAAGAATCAGCAATCGTCTTTATCAATACGATCCTACCACTCAGCGTTTTAAAGATGGGCTAGCAAAGCTTGCAAAGGGTGCTGAAGCGCAGGCTTTGTTAGCTCTCCAGCTACAGCGGGAATTCGATTCTACCCAGGCTATTATGGGGGCACGCCATGCCAGATATGACAATTCTCGCCGTCATGTACAGATCACCGGTATCATCAATTCCACCCAGGTCAAAAACATGAAGTATAAAGAATATAAATTGAGTGAAAAGGCCGATCAAGAAAAGACGAAGCGGAAGTGGAAGAAGGTGTTGATCGAAATCAGGAAGCATGGAAGAGCCAAAAAAACGCCGGGGAGGCTAAATTGATGTTGTATTATGGCAGTAAAATGGCTAATTGATTTATCTACTATTTTTAATCAATTAAATTACTATGTTGTAGGGTAGTAAATGGTGGTTGAAGTATAATATATAAAAAAGGTGCTATTTGGGTGATCCCTACTATTTGGTTGGCGGACCCTCGCTAGCGAGGGTCTGTAATTTTGGTAAAAAATGTAAGGGCCGGTTACATTCCAAATCGAAATTCTTACTCTCCTCGCTCTCTACTGGGCGCACGCATTCCTGTCTACTCCCTCATATTTCCCAGGGGTACTTTTGCTTGCTTACTAATGGTGATCTGTCACATTGCGTTATAAATAAAATGTAACAGCGCCGTACCTTATCAAACACGTCTAATCTTAGAGTCACGAGTTATGTGCCTGACAGGGATAGAGCCGTCGCCCACCTTCTGGGAAAACTTGGCTTTTCCGTGACACAACTCCTTTTCGCACTCTGTTTGCGTTATGTCACTCTCTGACGATTCGATCGCAGAAATAACTGCTTCTTTGCTGAACAGAATTCGACTGAGTACCAATACTTTCGCTGAGTTTGAGATATTCTTCGCTAAAGCCAACGCTTTTAGTCGATTATGGAGTGGGTGGCGATCTTTGACCGATCCTGCTCCCCCAGCAAAGGACGGTTGGGTGGCTGTCTGCGTGATATTCGTCTCGAGCGGGGTAAGCTGGACTCCAAAATGGGGCTTTGCAAGGCAGATATTTTAGCTGATCACATAACCATTTAGTCTCGTTATCCGGTTTACGATCATATTCCTCAGGTTCCTCTTGGTCAGAAGCAAGAGTTTCTAGCTATTATGAAAGTGAAATCAGAAAAAATTGGACTCGGATACGAAGATATCAAAAGAAACCGACCGCTTAGTTGTGAAGTTGACGAAATCATTATTCCCCGAAGAAAGTTAGGTCATGTGTGTCAATCTTTGTAAGGCGTCGTCACGGACTACCATTAATAAGCAATCAAAGTACCCCAAGGATTTTCGAGGAAGCAATCAACAAGCATTTACCTTGCTCAACGTGAGGAGACTTTTTATCATGAGAAAGCAAACTGGAAGAATGCGAAAATCCTGGCTGGCCTAGATGGAACTCCACAAAGCTAAAAGGCAAACTCCAGGATTTGCTTTTAACTATAGGATTCGTACGAAGTTTGCCTGTCTTATTAAGCACCTGTTATTAGGCTGTTGATTTATAGAGATGTAGTAAATATATACTAGATGTGTAGTGGGAACATACCCTAGAGTGAGGTACGGTCGCACCCCATCAAAAATAATTTTAAATTTTTGATCGGCCACCACACCTTTATGGCTTAATTAAACAGTCCAAAATTTGAGGACCATAATCTCCGAGGCATAACTTAGAACCGTACAAATTTTGAGGTCGATCCTCGTACGAAAAGTAATTCCAGTCTACTCATGAAAAGTATTCCAGTATACTCATGGCCCCACTTTTTTCTCCCATAGTAAAGCAAAAACCCTAATTCCAGTCTACTAGACTGCGCCCACCCCCATGGGATAGGGTACTCGATCCACCAACTACACCTTCAAAATCCACGGTGAAACCTTTTTGTCTGACAAGCTCTGTGACAGCTAGTCTCATTTGTAGTTCTAGTAAACCCAAGAGAAGCCACTTCGTCCAAGAACTTCTTCTTGAATAGAGTCATGTGATAACAAGCAAGAAGATTCATCCCAGTGGTGCTGCGTTCACACAGTGGCTGAAGAATCCTGTCCCTGGCCCTGGAATTCATGCGTGACGGTCACAACCGCTCGCTGGTCTTCAGGGACGCCATTTTCGGCAAGATGCCTGACAGCCTCATCCAGAGTTGAAAAGGATTTGTGTTCATTGCCAGGATAGCCTCTGATTAAGGGTTCGACTTCGCTCCTATCCTGAATTAGTTAAGGAACTTTAGAACCGTCTCATTCATATTAATTACCAGGACAAAAATATTCCGGGAGCCGGAGAACGCCCTCGACAGACCGCATAGTATCTTACCCTGACCATGACTGATTTCCAGAGACTTCGTAGTCAGGGTTTCGAGTTGAAAGGACGTGTAGACGACGTATATATTGTCAAGTTCAAAGGTGATAAATAGTCGATTTCAGCGGCTTATTATGAACAAATGAATATCTGGCTCACTTGCAAAGACACCAGATTAATACGCCATAAGGAATCCATACATACATATATCCCAGACAAATATGCACACTGAAATAAAAGAGCGGTAAGATTCGTGCTTACACAGACGCCGCCAAGGGTGGCGAACAAGGAGCATGAATCGCCAAGTAGGGCGAATTTACAATGATCGAGATAATTTCCCCTTGCTGATAATTTACTGTAAGGGGTCACCCGAACTGTAAGGCGCGGCACTCTCCTAAGCCGTCAACCCCGTCTCAGGTGTTCTTCTCATATTTGATGCGAAATCGATTGACCTGGTGTTGCACAAGCAGGGCGAGCAGACAACTGTTTGCGTCGGCTTGCGTAGCCCCTCACTTAATGTGATTCATATCAACGTAGAGCTTTTACATATGAATCTGCCCTTCCAGTCGATTTTTATTGTGCCCCATCAACAGTATAGCAAATGTACCAATCCCAACCACGAGTTGCACAAATTTAGTAAACCTACTGTCTTTAATATCAAAAGCGCTGTACGCATTCGATGGCACAGTAGCCTGCTCTACTAGGCGTTCTCGGGATCACAGATGAACAACGTGTACTTGGCCCCATCTACAGTACTCAAAATTACAGCGTAGACAAGGGATTGTTGGAATACAGAAGTACAAGAGGGCCAAGAAGGCCTGACAAGTACAGGGGCAAAGAACAGCCATTAAAACCACCAGTAGGGTGCAACTGCTCGGAGCAGGAGGGAGTAGTTTTTGCAGGAACGGTTAATGTCGGAAAGCAAGGGCCAGGACACACAGTGCTTGTAGTTACAACCTATCTTGGGCCACAATCACTTTGGGTTAAAGAATTGGGCCTAAAGTTTGACCCACTTACGATTAGAGTCAGTTCTAGCCATAGGGTGATTAGGTTTTATCGAGTTCTGTGGTCAAAAACACCTGTCAATCAGGCGAGAGAGAGAGTTTGGGCGTGAGGCGTTCCATCACGAAGCATATTAGGCCGACACCGAACTGAAATTGAATACAAGAAGTTGATACATGTTATGAAAGGCATCGTCGCTCATCCATGGGAGTCACCCACCATGGGTGAGGGTAAGTACCCTAGGTAAATGTGAGAACTCGCTTCCTGACGGGCAAGCTATGCAGATCATAGCTGTTGTGATTTGAGGCTGTCGCTGCTCAGGAATGAAGCCGCAATCCTAACCTCCCAAACCCTGACCCCTACATCATAATTATCACTGTAAATATACATTTGCTCCCGAATTCCTTTCGCTGCCTAACCATATCTGGAAATATATATCTTCCTGAATACACTCGTAATCTCTTCAACTCTCCAAATTTATCAACCCATTTGTATATATATATATATATAAATCTTGCACCTTCGAAACAATACACTAAACCCCTCCGACCTCGATCCATGCCCGCCGTAACCATACAAATTCCACCGCTAATTTAAACACCTCCTCCGTCCCATGTCTTGATCCCAAATACCGCACCAACCCGTCCTGGTCCTCAATCGCCACCCCGTGCGAATGTAACCGCCGTGCCCACCCTTTGCGTACCTCTTGCGCCGCACTATTGCCGCCCTGGGGCCCAAACACCATCATGGCAATCGCACTGATCATCACATTCCGATATAAACATGGCCCGTGGCTCTGGAACGCCTTGCATATCGTCTGCGGCAACCCACATTGGTAACAACCACAAAACTTGGCCCAATGCCCGCGAATCTCCTTCCGTACTACTATCATCCACTGCCGTGCCTCCTGGTGCCCGGGCTCATAACACTGGAATAACTCGTGGTCGTGCCGTCTGCCGCCCTGCTGGCATAAAAAGCACCGTTGTAACCACTGCCCCACCTGCTGTTCTAAAAACCTTTCTTGTGGCCCGATCGGCTGCTGCACCTGCTGGAGTGATATCCGTGCTATCTGCCGCTCTTGGTCCTGACGCTGGAACTCCTGGATTGCCGTCTGCTGAATACGTGCCCGCTGGGGACTACGCGCCTCGGGCTGGTCAATGCCGCTCGTTTCCCTATCTGGACCGTACTGGTGGTCCTCGATGGGACCGATCGGAACTGGGGGGGTGCCCGGCGCCCTGGACCGCTAACCTGGCCCTGGAACCCTTCCGATTCATCGTCCGGCTCACTGGTAATCGGCTCACTGGTAATCCGCCTGGCTATTGACTGGCCGGGACTACCAACCTGGGACGGGAATATCTCCGATCCCTCGTCGCTTTCACTGCCCACCGGGTCGGCTTCAACCGATAATTCCTGCCTGGGACTGCCGACCGCCCGTTCGGATCCCTCGTCGCTGAAAATATTGGCATGCCCGTCGAAATTCTCTTCACGAATCCCACTGATGGCCTACCGCACTCGGTATCTGGCCGCTTTCCGTAATCGTGCCTGGGCCACCCGACTTCCTAACTGCGCCGCCCGGATCGTGTCCCGGGTCACCCATCGCGCTGGGTCGACCTGCCATATCTCACTGGGGTCGGCGTTATCTTCGAACGGTGTGACTGGCGTATCGTGCATGGGCTCGTCGCTGGAATCCTCCGTGTCGCTCTCACTGCCTTCGACCATGCTATCCATATCGGTATCTATATCGGTATCTATATCGACTGCCACGTCGACCCTGGCCGCACTCGCCGTGCCGGCCATCTCCTCCTCGTGCGCCAGCCAATCCGGATCACATCCATCACACATCTGCTCCGCTTGACCGTGATCGCCGCAATGACTTCGTCGGTATCCATTCACCGTGCCGTCTAAATACCCATCTAATATATATCTTCGACAACTGGGATGCTCCGCCTCCATATACTGTTGGATACGTCGCACCTCATCCTCTGGTGTGTCCTGGATCGTATACTCTGGCACTTGCGTCTCCGCCGGTTGGATAATGATCGCCTCGCTGCGCTGACCGTCACGGCCCGCACGACCGCTCTCCTGCGCGTAATCCATCAACGTACGTGGCTGTCCAATATGGATGATGCAACGGATGTTGGGAATGTCCACGCCCATACCCAATGCGCTGGTGGCCACGATCACCGGCGACTGCCCGCTCTGGAACTCGCCCAACACCCTCGCCTTGTCTAACTGCTGGCTGTGGTATATCCCGCACCCCAGCTCGCTTGCTAATGTCTGTCCCGTCCGGACTACCGACGTGTATACGATCACCTTGCCCGGTCGACTGCGACGGATACGGTCACGGATTATGGACAACACCGGCGGTGCCTCGATCCAACGATCCCCAAACATATACTGGCGGTCCACTATGGGACGAACGACCCGGTATGCCACGTTGCCGCGACATGTGCGCGCACGGAACAACTGTACCTTCTCGCGGGTCGTCTCGATACGCATGAACATCTTGCCCTCCTCGCGGGGTGGTAATGTCGCTGTCATATACACCATCTGCACTCCAAACCCACTTAACCGCCCCAGTCGGGCCATAACGGGCCGGAAATCCTTCTGGTCGTTCAACATGACGTGGCACTCGTCAATGACAATCCGATCTAATCGGTGCTGCATCCTCTGCCGGTTTAAAAAACTCGTGAAATCTGGACCCAACGCGGACTCGGGCGTGACCAGCACGATATTGGCATCGTCGGCCGGCTGGCGGCTCTCCCATTCAATGCATCGGATATTCAACCGCTGGCATCGTCGCTGCATATCGCTGCGTAATGCGATCAACGGGACAACCACTACCGTGGTGCCACCGGCCACCCACGCGGGTAACATAAACAACACACTCTTACCGCCGCCGGTGGGCATCACTGTGATTATCGGACTCTGTCCGTGCTGGATCGCCTCAATCACGGGTCCTTGGACACCGCGGAACCGGACCAGCTCGTCACCTATCATCTTCTGTAACTCGGGCTGCATGGGTGTCTCCTGTAACTTCCAACGACGGTCCTGACGACTACGCTCCGCTTCCATCTCCCACGGCGACGGCTGGCTGGCTCCACGGGGGTCCACGGTCTCACTATCGCCGTATACGAAACTTAAAAACCGGTGCCAATCCGTGCTCGATAATCGGAATAACTGCCGTCGGTGTGCTGTGGTGACCGAGGCGCTGTGGTTGTGGGGAGATGATATCGGCAGCTATGGCCACTGCGGGTCGTCTGAGAGATGTGCTGCTGAAGATGTCAGACAATAGTATTGTGCACCTAGGCAATATTCACAGCAATATTTTCAAATGAAATATGTTTCGCCCAGGATCATATATTCGACTAGCGCTACTTTTACTGAGGTGCTGTTAGGTTTTCCGGTACGGAACTGGAAACGTCTCTCTCAACACACATGTTCGAAATTTCAACAAAGTAATGAACTCCTTAGCTCAGTGCCAGATTTTGTTTGGTCGGTGTCACACCTGCCGATATGAACCATGTTCTCAAAACAGGCCACAATCCCACGGATGTGTTGTTATGAAATGCATGCATGACCGAGGCTAGTTAAATCTTTAGAATGGGCGACATTCGAGGATCCTGTCATTATCGATATGGGTCGGGTAAGACGAATAGTAGAAAATTAGGGGGATTTTATTGAGGAAGAAGTCGAAATCTCATCTTATGTTTCCTAGCTTTTGACTTTCACTTTCAAACACTATAGTGGTATATAAAGATGGAAGATCAATTATTTACTCGACCCTACGAATTGCCAATCATTGTCTGCAAGAAATGTCAGATTGCAGTACGACCGAGAGAGATTATTCAACACCTTCCCGGCACTCACTACCGGCTTCCACTAGCCACTGCGAAGAAGACTAGTGAAACTATATATCAATGGCTCGGCGTACAGGCCTGCGGTCAGTGGATCGTACCTATGATAGTGACTGAGTCAATCACTGGGCTTGCAATTTATAACGATGGCAATTTATGTAACCGATCATCAGAGTGCCTGCCTATAGTATTTAGTTTCAATATCGTTCACTCAATCGTGTGGATATTTGCCATTAATAAGGCTCTGAGTTCATAACATGAGCTCCTCTTCGTGCGGAGCACCAGATACTCCAACACCCCAACATCGAACCACCTGGAGATACTTCTGACAGTAGGACATAGCCGGAGCCCCGACCAGGCCACCTTTACTACATAGATCAAAGGTCCCTGCGTCTCTACCTTGAAATGGCGGTCAACTGCTACCAGGATCTGTCGCATGCGTTATGTGGCGTATGAAGGGGACGAAACTTGCCCAAGGCCATGTGTACTATTGTTACACAAAATGGGACATACTGTGTAACATCAACATAGTGGCGCTGAATAGCACAGGCCTCGGTTCGCCAGAGGAATAGACGGTTTCACGTAGCGACCGTGATGCATCACCCCGAAAAGTCCAGCCCATTAGGGTTGGTATCATGGCAGCGTCCATATTATTTTTTCGAGGCCAAAATTTCAAAAAGTGGATTGTGAAGGTTCCGAAATTCATCCATATCAATTTCAATCCGATTGGAGTGCGCGTTCAGGAGTTGGGAAGCCCCATTTCATAGGTACCCAAATCCATATTGTTGCCATTAGGGCGTCATTCTAGGGGGCAATTCCTGCACAAGGAATAGCTTCTAGCCCGGTCAGAAGCCCTTGACTCGTAATTGAATTCCGTAATGACTCATGATCTGTCTAGCTTTATGGAAAAGCATATAGTTTGTCCCTCGTTAGTGGAGGTTTTTAGGGGAGCGAACCATGACTCGACACGTCTGACGCGATAACTTTGGCGGTTAGCCGAAGCCAGTGACTGGCGGGCTATTTTGGGGACACTTTAATGTTCAGCTTTGAAGTACAGGTGGCAGCAGACATGAGCTGGGAAACTAGCGCCCGGTTTCCAACTTAGGTTTAGCTTTTACGTCTAGGGGGACACTTGTAAACGAGAATGGGTGTTCGAGCCACGGCCAATCAAAATGCATTCCTCGGCTTCCTGAAATCTCCAAGGCGATGGATGTGCATAGGAGCTAACTACGTTGAGTGAATCGGTAATATAGTCCTTGCGTCTGTCCTGGAGTGCTTATCTAATGAGAGATCTCGACATTTCATTTAAGAAAGTACCTCCAATAGAACTGCCTTGCCGATCAAACGTTGGAGTTGCCGCTTCCCTTCTCTGCATTTTTTCAGACGATATAAATAAACAACAAACACCGATTGTTTGCAACATGCTTGGTGCGACAAACGTGAATCTGAGGTATTTTTTTTACCCAATTGGTAATACACCAGCCGTGAATGTGTTTAATTGTCGAGTGCCTCCGCCAATACATAAACTTGAAGAGGAACAGGTCAAGATCTTGTTCTTGGCATGTGGAGATCCCAGAAACTTACTTTTTACCCTTTGGTGCAAGCCAATACAAGGTACAATTATCATGCAAATAAGATTCTATTATAGCTGACCTAAGATTCTAGATGAACACATCAAGTGGGAATTTACTTGTTGTGATATCGAAACTGCGATCATAGGTAATCACGCCTGTTTATTTTCCCCGTATCGCGCTAATCGTAGGCTTTTCAGCGCGAAACATCATCCTATTCTCCCTTATCGTTGACAATGCACCAAGTGCTTCAATATGGAAGATCTTTTACCACTTCTTTGTTACGAACTCTGACGTCGCAATAATAAAGAGTCAGACAGACAAGCTTCTATCTAACTCAGAAACGCTTGAGATATGGTCCTGCTCAAAGTATGGCGGCTTCATCAAATTTTTGAGTCAAGATACATTATCTCGTCTTCGTGCATTCTGGAAACAGTACTCTAGTATGGCAGGTTTGGATGCTGACAAGGCAGCTTCTTTTGAGGAGGATGCAAGGGAAGAAATTCAGAAAACGCTGAAAAGAACCCACGAGGAAGATGTTATTTTTCTTCAAGGCGTTCGTTCAGCGACAGTTCATTGGGTGCGTGCGTTGCCCGTACTCTCTTCGTGCTTTCGCAAATTCTGGGAAACCGGCGTCGTTGCCGGAAATGCCACAGACTTACATGATCTAGGAGAAGGCGGATACGGACGCGTGAATCCGTTGTTTGCCATCTCTTCAGCGCCAACTGGAAAATTTGCAGTTCACTACGGCAGCGACCCACTACTTGCATTCCACCTTGCCAGCGCATTCGATGACGAAACATGTTCGTAACAAGATATAGGAACGAAAATTGTCGCTCTCGCAAAATTTCAGTTTTCGGAGTAGTGCACTGCCCTGAAACATCAGGTACACTCCGGCACTCTCCAAATTAGATTCTTTTGCGAAGATGCTTTACGGCTTTGCTATGAGCTACAAGACTCTCACAGTTCAGCAAATGTAATTCCAAAACTCGTGAGGGCATACACCTCTCCATGGAGCTCCACAGAATTGAATCTCCTTGACCTGAATCGGCCTATTGAAAGGAGGCTGTTCGATGTTATCGAAACGTCAAACCTCGTTGATCATGTTGGAATGCTTAATGTTCTACCTGCAGTTGTACCGCTATTATCAGGACGAGTTACCTCAGTACTGTTCACAAATAGCTTGTTACGGGCGGCGGAGGATATCACAGTAGCACTGCCAGCTCTACTTTGCTCGGATGTTGCTGCAATATCTTTGATCCTTGGTCTCTCACCATCTGGACATCTCATTCCATATACAGCTTCTGCTGCTGGGCTTGAGGAGGTACTAGATCTCACGGCTTCAAAGAACACTGGGCGCCGGGGTCAGTACCATATGGAGATTTCATGGAGGGTCCCCAGCTTTGGTGATTCGATCCAAGCACATGACTGTTCTACCTCTGGCTATCAGCTTGTGTATCAGTTCGACCAACTAGCCAGATATTTCTTCAAGCTTTACCTGACAATGTTCAGTTGTGAAGATATGGGGTCAATGATGGAGTCCATGATGCGTCAAGCAAGATCGCCACTTTCTGTAGATCTCCGGCACTACAATCGCACGACATTCGTCATACTTCTTTTTTTGGCAAAGAAACGTGTCCAAACCCATTTCCATATAGGTTAAAGGATGTGAGATCACACGACAAGGTCCAACTTTGATTCTGCCCCACTTATGTTCTCCAGTATTAATGTAAGAGGGCCACATTACGACAATGTATTGTGACCGTGTAGTATAATACCGCATTATCGGAAATTCTTTGATCCGCTGGGCCCAAATATATGACCATTCCGATTCAAAAATAACTATTGCTGGCTTCCCCGTTCAGGGTCGTTTTCCATCTCGCAGTGCTTGGAAACCAACCTTAGGGTTAATACTGTGACTCTGAATCCTTCCATGGGTATTACAGACACAGCGACCTTAGCTCTGTCTAGTCTAACGTATATATGAGGTGCCAAAATAAGGCGGTGTGCCGAAACTTCATATAGATACCTTCATCACAACTGAAGATAGAGTCGTCAAATGAAACTATTATCGTAGAGAAATATGTCATGGATTATCATCTGCCTCTCCAATTGGATACTATCTACTTTCATATCAATAATACAGAATACACACCGAGGGACTAGAAGTATTTCTCGCTCCAGCGTCACAGGGGCCGGGAATGTCAAATTTTTTAATTACTTATAATTTCAGGTCGATATTACCGGACTACGCCACTAAGGTACTTCTTAAAACGCAAGTATAACGAAAATGAGCAACGCATGAGAGACAGAATTCAGATCCTGTTACGTCGAATGAACCTATTCTGCCATTAAAATCGTAGGTGCGCTGCCGCATGTCATCATAGCTTTCAGAAAGAAATTTTGTATTCTTGATAACTTACGCGACAGCGACAACGGAAACGTCTTGGTTTGCTACTCTGTCATGTCCGAGCTGAAAAAATCTCCACAATCCCCAGTGTTCTCACGACCAACATACTGATATTTTCCAACAAGCCCTTCCTCAATCCTACTAATCCCGACGATCGGAAGCCGGGTTTTACCTAGCGGAGGTATACTCGCTCCAAGGACGCTCTCACGTGGAGGATCATCGACATACGCGTGCCAAAATATACCATCTGCACCGGGGGCAAAATACGATGCTACTGTGTCCAGAGCGGGTGAGTCCGCAAATAGTTGCGCAGTCATTAGCCTCCCAATGCCTCTGACGGGACACGTCGATTGCGTTCGCCCACATTGCCAACACAAAACTACCGTGGTAAACATCACGCGCTTCAGCGAATGACTTTCGTCGACGACGCGCTTCCAGCTGCCTTCGCCAATGGTGATAACAACCCTTTCACACGATGCACAAATAAGGACAGTTGCGATTTGCATCATGTTTACTGAACAGGTATAACGAGGGAGAAATGGGATGCCTCTTTTTCGTCTGCTTCTTGCCGCATTTAGTTTCGTCACCTAAAGTATCATATTGAATCGTGACACTCACAGCTTCTCTTGTGAGATACAGAAACAGGCTATAAGGTGAAACAGTGGAGAGACCATGGAAGAATGTAACCTAGATATAGTGTCAGCACAGACAGGTCCGTGAGCAGGGTGTTGAGGGTGACAAGTGTAATAGATTCTAACTTTGTACAGGATTAGAAGCTTGAAAAAGAGTTTCCTGGTGACCAAGTTTTCGAAAGAGATGATAGCGGACTGTAGGGCAAAAAAAGAAAGAGTAAGAGAGAAAGAAAAGGAGCGAGGATACGGTCATGCTGATAAGGTAGGATTTTCGGTCTTTTTTTTCCGAATTGTTCCAGCTGCTGCAGAAGCAAGCACTTTCGCAAGAAATACAAAAAAATCAGTCTGTAGATATCCCGTGCGTCGGTCATAATTATCTTTTCGAAATGCGAAGCAGATGCTTCTCGGTGGGCGTGCCGTCCTGTTCTTAAAGCCTGCATCAACAACTAGTAACTGGAAAGTATGGCAACACTTACTTGACCTGGTCTCACAGTAAAACCTAGATGGGGATGAAGCTCAGAAGGTATTGTGTATGAGATTACATATAACGATAGTTCCTTGTTGCTGTCATTCCAGGTGAGATGGCCGGAATGTAAATTTCACCAAGACTGCAATTTTGTTAGAGTGATTGTTCAGTGACTGGTTCGCCCCGATCTCTCCCGTCCACTGCTGGAATGTGGTTCTCTGCTCGCTGATTAGTGGAAAGTTGTGTCGCTATGACCCCGGCAACAGCGATCTACCTGAGGCAGCAGTGGAAGTTGGCTAGTCTCGCCAAAATTCCAAACCGTAGCTTCCAACAAGTCTTTCGTGTGAAAAACAATATTGTAACCTTCCTCAAAGATGCGTACTTCCTGTGTGAGGTATTGAGCGCCTAAGCGTAATTCATAAATTAACTCGCCTGCTTTTGTCCGTATACCGAATCGACATGGCCTGGTTCGGTTGTCCAAGTCTCGGTCCACGATGACAAGATATGTATCCAGAAATATCAAAGCACTGCAGAAGAATTCATCGCATTCAAATCGGGCTTCAATCTTTCCATTCTTCGTAATTTTGATATGGGACAACAATCCAACCAGAGAAATCCTCTCTTTAGTGAGAATGACGAGAGTACCATCAAAAAAACTCCCCGACAACGTTCCCCCCTTCAAAGTGTGAGCGATAGAGTTGTTTGCCAGTATACGTCATTGCGAGGGTACCATATAGTGTTGAATGAGATAAGATACCATTCAGGCCGATTTCGTGAGTCAGGGTGAAGCTGCGTAGAGAGCTGATGGATTCACTACTTCGACAAATTTTGGGGAAGCGGTAGGATCGGAGCTCCATGTATGGGGGCTTTGTGGTGGGTTAATAGGTCTGGGTTAAGGATTTCGACCCAGAACTGGGTCTGGGGCCCCAGTGAATAGTTATCCCGGTCACTGAGATAGTCACCAGGGCGCACGTGCATACATACATATTTACCTGGCTACCAGCCTCTCTGTATCTAACACACAACACAACAACACACAATCAACTCTCATCAATAATATGATTTAACATACATTTTACGTTCGATGGTTCCAGCGAGAGCCTGAGATTGATGAAAAATGAAACTTGCAATCATGATATACGGGAGCAATTTCGGTCTATCCGTAATGTATTGTCCACTACGGTTGAGCTACGAGTATCCTTGGAGACAATGCATTATCTGGATAAAAAGCACCAGATTCGTTCGACAAGTGGCCTTTCCACTTACTCGACGGTACCGTTGCAGATCTTGTCAAAGTGCTGCGCTTTTCCGACGATGGTGCATACGGAAATCCTGTCGCGGTCGTCGACAATGAATACCAAAAGTCATCTGAACTGCAAGCATACTTTTCCAAATTGCGATCATCTTTTCCGCTCCTGCAGATAGTTACCGGAAAATTTCACATTTGCGCCATTATTGGTGGCAAGAATGTTCATTGTGACTACTTGGGGTATGCTCTTTACCACGAGGCATCTATGGTCTATTTTAGGGAAGAAGACTGTTGGAAGTTCAAAAACGTTTGCCTGCCAATGCCAGGTTCTTCAGATTGCCTGTTTAAGGGCGAGGATTCACTACTCGATTGGCTGAATATAAAGGTTGGCCTGTTTTTGTTCTAGATTATTTTGGGATTCAGATATGGTTTTATCCGATTCGCCATCCACACGCACTCGAATTCTGATCTTCTTCATTTCCCGTGCTATTTTGAAACGCTCGACCTGTGATTTGCGCATGCGTAGTCAATTGCATTACCAGTTGTGAATACGGTTGTACATCCGGGACGGAGTCATTCCCATTCGTACTTTAAATCCACATAACGACAGCCTTTCCTCAAAATGAGATTTCGGTAGACTATTGTATCAATAGCTTCCTCCCCCGCAGCCGTTTCTCGCCCTCAACGCTGGAAGTGAAGATACTTCGAAAAACACGCTAGAAAAGGCACATATATAGCGTTGAATCATTGCGATAATAAATCAATAATAATATTATTATCTTCATATCAAAGAATTTCCATTTCCACCCAAATGACATGGGTCTTGATGTGCATTTCATAGTGGAAAAGTTCCCCACGTAATCTTGCTCGGAAAATCACTGGCTAGACTCTTTGTTTAGGGCAACTAGGGTGCTGCTAGGTCGTTATACTCTGTCATGGAATTGCGGAACTATTAATCTTAAAATATACGTTTCTCCGGAGCACCACATGTGCCCCGGTCTAAGCGGACCGGTAAAATTGATCTCGAAATATGGTTGTGCTATATTTTCGCTAAAGCTAAACAGTGCGTGACAGAAGTGTCCGTCTGCACTCTCCCCCTCTTAGCACCAACGACGTTAACACACCATCAAAAAAATTTATCGAATCCATGACCGAGGTTTTCCTCGCAGGGCTGCCGATTGCGCCGAATGGAGGTTTCGAGCCCTAGAAAAATATCGTCTATAAATCCAAGTCTAGGAAATATAGGGGACAGGTAGAATAGCGTGATACCAGCTACTGAACACACTAATCTGTCTAATTATATATATATCTGTCTAACGTGTTCTGTAAGCGAGCTGGACATGTAAGCCAGCTGGACACTCTAAAACACCATACTAAATGCGATAGGTTGTAACTTGATATCTTACAACCACATTTTTATATTATTTCTTTGCTTGTCGATAGCGATTGATAAGGCTTTTCGGCATTATATAGTAATTTCAAGGAAATATAAGGGCTGCTGCATCACGGTATCGGAAATTACGTGGCTGAGAGCGTGATTATATATATTAATTATTGAATTAGGAAAATTATCTAAGATATTGATAGTGTAGATCACAACTCACAAGTCGAGCACATCGCACTCACCAGGTATGTAAAACTTGAGTAATGTGTGGTATTATCACTTGGTGATAGGTCATTCCAACCCTAGTTACCTCATGCTCGACCCTGGAGCGAGGCTTTCCAAGCATTAAATAGATACATTTTTGGTTTAGTCACCGCACGAAGGGAGCTCAGGATCGGTTACAAGGCATTGCACAGGATGAAATTGTCACTGGGTTCGGGAGCATGAACGGGATATATATTCTGCTCATAGCCGGTCCCGCAATGTCTGAAATACGCTTCATGCTTTTTGTTGAGAATCCAGGTTAATTCTCAGTAATTAACATGGAGCTTTCAACGCTAACCCTAATTCGGCATGCTCTCTACATTACGAATCACTATGCAACCCCCATGCCAAGAGCTTCGAGGTCCTACGGAATCGAGATTAGCGCGTTGATGCAGCTTGCCGTCTACACCACTAATTACTGTATACAACCGCCAGTTTGTTGTATCACAGGGAGTCATTTCAATTCGGGCTACATTCAGTGCTATCACCGCTCTTCTTTCTGTTTCCTTTACAAATTGATAGATTCCAGGGGGAGAAGAAGAAGCCTATAAATATGGGCTTCTTTCTATGTATGAAGAGATTAGACAGTTTTACAATTCCATTTCTGGCACTATATTCATAGTTCCATTTATCTTTGCAAAAGATACTCCTTCTACATGCTGTATAGTCCCTCAGTGTACTATTTCAACACTTTTGGCTCTCACGACCGAATTGATTAGACCTCTCTCCTCACTATTATGTACGGAGGCATCCGTGAAATCAGAATTCTATTAAACGGTATTTTTTCGGTTGAGTTGAACTGGAATGTTCCCCGTGAGAATTGTGGACGGATTGCTCCGTGTAGACAATCTTATTCGCACACGACATAACTGTTGAAAATCGATTCCGGCTCAGCTGTCTACAAGTTGCCGTCTTGAAGGGTGCTGACTCAGTCATAGGCATGGCACAAAGAAGCGAATGTCCCGAGCGATCCGTCAGTATCCTAGAGACAGTCCAAGACATATAGTCAAAGACTGATGCCGATGCCGTATCTGTGAAATACTGAGAATACCCCTTTCGCTCTTGCAGCGTAGATCGGCGGTCAGTTGTTAAAGGCATAGTCTGTGAGAAGCATCTCCATTCAGTTCGAGGGTCGAGTCCTATGTTCTTGCTTGGCAAGTATACTATGTCGAAGAGTGTGAATTTGCCCTGCTCTGGACTTGCGCGAATGGACAGCTCGGCAAACTCCGGCCGGTCTTGTCCGCAGTCGACCTCATTCAGGTGCAGAGTCTCTGAGCGCACGTGGTTATCATCAATGAAAATGCGAACCCCATGATAAAAAATCGTATTACGCTCGCGTGCGTCAAAGATCCGACGGATGTAGTAGAAATTTTGACCATGGACAAAACAGCATGATGTGCGGCCCATGTCACCGATAGTGAAGGTCCCGAGAGACTGGGAAAAGTGTGGGATTGCGGGATCGCTCAAAGAAAAGACCCGAACAGATGCCTCCTGAGCCCCAGGAAGCAAACAGAAAAGATAGTCGTTTGTGTTACGAACGACAGGTGATCCATGAAGAGCGGACATTCTGGCCGGCCACCAGGAGTTTCCCAAGCTGGGGCAATGTTGAACTGTCCACAAAGTGTATTCCCTGCTACGCTCGTCAACCTGGAGAACCGTGAGGATAGAATCACTGTAATGCAGCAATTCAAGACATGAGTTTGTAAGATCCAGGCCTCCTGGAGGTTTGAACATGCGACACTCTTCGTCATGGGTCGAAAGAACATGTATGGTTGCATCCTTGACAAAACATAAGTGGCCTTGTGAATGTGAATAGAGGAAGCTGGGATTGCCGTGACCAAAGACCTGACTTCTAAATTGAACAATTTTGATTCTCTCTGAGATCCTCAATTGCCGTTTGAATACCTCCGCGGGCTCATGGTCCTTCCATTCATCCTGGAGCAAATAGGAGAATCGACTCTGTGGTCAGTTAGTCCAGGGTAGCATCTCGTTTCTGGGGCTAAAAAGTTACATAGCAGTAGAATCCCAAACCGCGCATTAACCGGCAAGTGTCAAAAAGTGCAATTAATTCATGCCATTGGTCAGCTGCGACAAGTTTCATGCAGACCAAGTACCACAGATCCTGTGGGAGGGAAGACATGGTCAGGCTCGTTACTACCCCTACCCTCTACAGTAGAAGAACGCCGGTAGGTTGTGAACAGCGTAAGGTTGACAAAATACTGTGCAAAAAGGGGGTACAGTACGCGTCGGATATGTTTGTACAGGACCAAAGCTATTTTCCTATTTATTGATAGTCTCGCCCAAGGACTTTGTAGAGACTGTAGGTCTTCATAGTTCAGTTTTTCAGGCTATGGAGCTACTATTTAGACCTATAAAAGCTGGGGATCAGAAGGACATCCCCGATGTTCTAAGTTTGTAACAGTTGTTGCATTTTTGGACGTAAATCGAGTGTTCTTTCCAGGATTCGGTGGGAAACTCTCGGGAGAAGGGGATAGATAGTTAACGAAAAAGAGGCTCTGGAGGTTTTACCTTGCTTTGTACCTCCGCAAAAGTATCAAACGGTCGGTGTTTTGTAGTATAAACGCACGAGAGGCGTGAAAGTTATCGCTTTCTTCATTTGTTACTTTACACTGGCCTCAACATATAACGTCCTCTGGTTCTTTAAACATAGAACTTGCTAGAAGGCCTAAAGTTGACAGTGCTTCACGGACCGGGATAAAAATAGGGATGACGAGATTAAATAAAATTTGAACATAAAAATTATAAACGGCCCAATGAAGATAATTTCGGTTATTACTGGCATTGCCGATTTATCATGTTCTCAGTAACCAAATGAATGGGCATGCTATTTACGCAATTCTACTAACTAATAAAAGAAAAAAATATTTTTTTAAATTTAGATTGTAAAAAATATCTCAGACAACTGACGCTAAATATAGAAATTAATATCGGAAAGGGTCAGTGTTGAATACAAATACCCTGGTTTGCATGACCTCAAGGAAATCTATACCTCTCTCACATATTCATGATGAGCCTAGCTCCACTATCTCCAGCCGACCAAGACTTTGAGAACTTATCTCCAGTCGACCAAGACTTTGAGAACTTATTTGATATGGAACAACCTACCAAAAAAGACCGAAATGCCATCTTGAATCATTTCAAGAATACGCTTGATATCAACATCCCACCAAAGCCATACAACACCGCTTTGGAGGCTGCTTCCCACATAGGTAGTTCAGTATTGGTGAAACGTTTGCTCGAAGAGAACCCTAATAGAAATCCTACAACAAGCGAGCCCGATCGTTACGGGAACGCTCTCTTGTTGGCAATCTCGGGAAAGTGTCCCAAGACAGTGAAATTACTTCTAGACCATGGTGCGGATCTGCAGTTCAGAAAAAAGTGCAAGGGAGAGTATAGGTCCCCACTCGACGTTGCATTTAAAGAAGGCTACAAGGAGATAGCGAAAGAGTTATTCAAGCGTCTTGAAAAACCCCAATATAGGGGAACAGAGGTCCACAGGGCACTCTGCATGGCTTCCGAAAATGGAAACAGAGACCAAGTCAAGGCGCTACTTCGGAAGGTAACAGACGTGAATTACCAAGACGATGCATACGGCCCTGCCTTGGTACATGCTGCTCGTGGCGGTAATACTGAAGTTGTCAAAACTTTACTAAACAACGGTGCAAGGGTGAATATGGAGTCTTATCACTTCGGAAGCCCTCTGACAGCCGCTATTGAAGAGAGGAATCCTGAAATGGTGGAACTATTGCTTAGAAGCAACGCAATTGTGGATCTCTCAGAAACTAAAAATCCGCTACTGTGTGCCGCGAAGGAGGGAAATCTTAAGATCGTAGAATTACTTATTGATCGAGGTGCCCAAGTAAACATTGAAGGGTATAAATACGGCACTCCTCTTTTCGCTGCAGCACTATATAAGGAAAAAGATGTGGCTTTATACTTACTTGAAAAAGGAGCGAAAGTCGATATCGCTATCAAAGCTGCCCGACGAGGGCACTGGTCTTTACCAGTTCGGGAGGTCGGTGAGCTACTAAAAGCATGGGAGTCCAGTAAACACAAAATGAATTGTGAAGAAGGGCACAGTTCCGGCAATAGAAGATCAAAGCGCCTGAGGGAAATGAGCAGAGTACTTAAGTCGCAGCGCTAGTTGGCTCAATTATCCACTTCCATCAAGATTCTATTAAGATGACCCAACATATTTTTCTAAACCAAGAAATTCGACTCACATATGCGGGCAGAGGCGAGCCTATACCCAGCCGTCACAAGGTAGTGTCTTGGGGGTAAACTGTTTTCGAATTCTACTGTACTGCTAAGACATCCCATTGGAAGCAGTTCCTCGACGAAGCAGGTGAAGGGAAATTATGGAAGGCAGCGACGTACATGAAACCACAAGACTCCTGGGGCTGCGTTCCCGCCCTCAAGGTTGGCGATAAGGAGCTAGTTGACAACGCGGAGAAAGCTCAGGCGTTCATGGGCTCGTTCTTCCCATCTATGGCGCCTGCGCAAGAGGAAGCACCCGTTCACGACCCAACCGAGATCCGATGGCATGCAATCTCCGAGATTGAACCTTATCGATCTCTCAAGGCTTCCAAAGGCACAACAGCACCAGGCGAAGACGGCCTGCCCACGTTGATCTGGAAACGTCTCTGGAGATATCTCGGAAACATCATCACTCGGATTTTCACATCGTCGATTGAACTAGGATACCACCCACAGCGATGGAGAAACGCGCGAATCGTAGTCCTGCGGAAGCCCGGGAAACCAGACTACTCGCTCCCTGGAGCGTACCGCCTGATCTCGCTACTTGATCACTCGGCAAATTATTGGAAGCGGTGATGGCCCGACGGCTGTCCTTCTTCGCGGAGCATTACGGTCTCCTACCGGATACTCAGTTCGGAGGACGCCCGGGACGAACAACCGAGCAAGCCCTCCTGATGCTTGTTAACGCAATTGACCGGGCGTGGTACAGGCAGAAGGTCGTCACGCTGGTGGCCTTTGACCTGAAGTGAGCTTTTAATGGAGTGAATAAGACAAACCTGAATATTCGCCTCCAGTCCAAGGGTATCCCCTCTGTAGCGCGAACATGGATTGCGAGCTTCATGAGTGGGCGCCAGGCTAGCATTGGGTTCGACGATTACCAAACCAAGGTGGTACCGCTAGACAATTCCGGGCTCGCGCAAGGCTCTCCGCTGTCACCTATCCTCTTTGCATTCTTCAATTGCGATCTGGTCGACCAGCCGGTCGACTTTCACGGTGGGGCATCCGCCTTCATCGACGACTACTTCCGCTGGCGAGTTGGCTGGAGCGCCGCAGTGAACTTGGCCAAAATCCAGTGCGACAGCATACCCCGGATCGAAACTTGGGCCCGGCGAACTGGGTCCTGCTTCGCCGCAGAAAGACCGAACTTATTCATATTACCTGGAAGAGGAAAGAACAGAGTCAGGGCCAGCTTACCATGAATAGCAATGCTATCAAGCCATCTACGACCGCCAAAATTTTGGGGGTGATCTTCGATCATGAACTTCGATGGAAGGAACACGTACAGCAAGCCGTCAAATGAGCCACCAAGGTCAATATCGCGCTTGGGAGATTGCGACAGCTCCGCCCGGAGCAAATGCGACATCTCTACGAAGCGTGCGTCGCACCGGTTGTCGACTACGCCTCGACCGTCTGGCATGATCCACTTCGAGACAAGACCCATCTACGACACATCCGTACTGTGCAACGGGCGGCTCTTATCCGCGCCCTATCTGCCTTTCGAACGGTTGCAACAGCCACCCTTGACGTATAAGCACACGTACTGCCAACTCACCTTCGTCTGCGCTACTATGCACAAAATACCATCACTAGACTGCATAGCCTACCCTAAAAACATCCCATATGGAGCGCCCTACGTCGGGCCCAGGGAAGACGCAAAAATCGTGGATCGTTCGCTCGGTTCCCGCTATCAGAAGCCTTGAAAACTATGAACCTAGAGAGACTACAGGAAATCGAAATGATTGACCCAACCCGCTACCCCCATGGCAAAAAGAAGCCTTCTCGGAAATCGAGATTGAATCAGACAAGGAGCTCGCGATAGAAAGAGCCGAGACTGCACAAGCAACCGCCGACATCGTGGTATACTCAGATGCCTCGGGACGACACGGCCATTTGGGCGCCGCAGCGGCCGTGCTGAATGGCTCACTGGAAATAATCGACAGCATACAAGTGCAGGTTGGGCCCATGGATCGATGGTCCGTACATGCCACCGAGTTGGTTGGCATCCTGTACGCCATCAACATCATCAACAAGATCGCTCTCCGACACTGGAGAACATCCCATACGCGGGTGAGATCTGCCACTATCCTCAGTGACAGCAAGTCGGAGCATCGCAACGGTTTCAAAGCCGCGCGCTATGAGGGCAGCATGAATATAACGACGGCACAGGCGAGGCTCTAAGTTCGCTTAGGAAGTGATACACGATACATGTACATAGGAGGATATATATAGTAGTGGTAGGCTGTCTATCGTTTCGACAGTTGATTTGACCACTAGACCAAAATACGAATCCGTACCCAGCCTAGTGGGTTGTGGTTTAGAATCCAACTTCGACGAGAGGTCGGCGTAAATGAATCACACACACAAACACATATTGTACCTGTTGACAGTTGGTTAAAAAATATGTCTAGTTATCTCCTGGCGATTTCGCCTCCTCCCTCCCTTTCTTTGATAGATTCATTAATAATCACCGGGTGTGATTTGGAGTTACCGATGCCTAATTCTACCGCCTCGATGGCGCACCGTTTTAAGATTTGGATGCAAGACGCATCGGTCGACAATAATGGTACAAAAATGGCAATGACAAGGCTAAGTAATATCTAAAAATGAAACTTAGATAAAAAGAAGAATAGCCCAACGGGGATAATCGCAGTCACTACAGGGGGTGCTGATGTATCAATGTCTTAGTAACTAAACGAATGGGCATGCTGTTTATAGACACAATCCAAGTAGGAAAAAAAACGAAAGCTAATACCTAAGACAACTGACGCTCAATATAGAACGTCATTACGAGATTCTCATACAGTATCGAGAAGCTTCAGTGTTAAATACAAATAAGCTGGTTCGCATGACCCTAACGAAATCTACAGCTCTCTCACATATTCATGATGAACCGAGTATCAGAGTCTCCTGCCGATTGCTTGTTCGACCAGCCAATTTCCGACCAATATAAACAAGCCGTATTGAATCATTTCAACTCTGTGGATGATATCAACGTCGCACCAAAGCCATACCACACTGCTTTGGAAGCTGCCTCCCACATAGGTGATCCAAAATTGGTCAAGCGCCTGCTTGAAAAGAACCACAATGTCGAGACAACAAGGGAGATATTTCGTCACGGAAATGCACTTTTGTTGGCATCCAGGGGAAATTGTCGCGAGACAGTGAGATTACTTCTAGAACATGGTGCAGATCCGGAGGCCAAGAGAATGCGCAGCGGAGTTTATGAGACCCCCCTCGACATTGCATGGAACAATGGGTTCATTGAGGTAGCGGAAGAGTTATTTGAGCGTCTTGTAAAACCCGAATATCGGGGTCCAGAGGTTCACAAGGCGCTCTGCATGGCTGCTGAGAGCCGTAACGGAGCCCGAGTCAATGCGCTACTTGGAAACGGAGCATACGTGAATTACCAAGACGATTCCTACGGGCCTGCCTTGGTATATGCTGTTCGTGGCGGGAATATCGAAATTGCCAATACTTTACTAAAACACGGTGCTATGGTGAATGTGGAGTCTTCTATATACGGATGCCCTCTTGAAGCCGCTGTTCAAAATAAAAGTCATGAAATGGTAAACTTCCTGCTAGAAAACAACGCCGACGTGAATTTCTCTGGAACTGGAAATCCTCTACTGTCTGCCGCGATTGAAGGGGATCTTAATATGGCAAGGTTGCTTATAAATAAAGGCGCCGATGTCGACATTGAAGTGAGCGAATACGGCACTCCCATTTTCGCTGCAGCAATATATGGACATAAAAATGTGGCCTCATACTTGCTCGAAAAAGGTGCAAAAATTGATTTCGCTATCAGAGCTGACGGACGCATAAGTTACAACATCAAAGATATCCAAAAGGTCAAAGAGCGACTGGAGAAATGGAATCCGAATACCACGCAAATCAAAAGTCTGAGTAGTAGGGATCTTTGTTTAGATATATGGAAGGCTATTTCCACATGGTCAAGCTTTTTATTAAGGAAAAATGTCACTGTAGTGCAAATGATACACAAATCGGAACGACAGTCGAACTCTAAGTGTCTTGAAGATTGGGAGATATCGGTCAACATGAACTCCATTTTCCTGTTGATGCTTTGTTTGCAACTATTGGCGAAGTAAATCAAAGTCTACTTCCTTCGTTATTGATGAGGTCATAAGGACAGTTATGGTGTATCTAGTTTAGTTCTTCGTCTTCCCTCATACATCCTTACTTGCGTATACTTCTGGAACTTCAGTAACTCTTCACTTGATTATGGCTTGGGTCATCTTTCTAATTCAGAAGAATTCCTTGGTCCATTCTAGAAGGAATACGCGAGGTCATATATACAGCATGAGCTTCAAGTTGATTTTCAATCAACTTGCTTCTTCATATAGCCACCTCCAAAAATATTTCGGATGGTGCGACTTTGTTCCTTAGCTACACCAGCCTCATATCACAACACTCATGAATAGCCTAATACTTCGGCATAGAGCTATTCGGTGCTCTGCCTGGCATCGTCCCTCGATATCGCAGGACTTAAAACATAGTAAAAACTGATGAGCAACGGTACAGTTGAGAGGCAGACCGTTGAGGGTAGAGTATTGAGAATAAAGCATGTAACATTCTGCCGGGTTTGAAAACTCAAGCTATTAAACTGGCACGGTGTATTCCATCCCTGACTATCAAGAATTGCCTGCACCCGATGCGGCAACGTCTCAGAGATGCTTTAGGTGCTCTAGGATTCATTGGTCCCGTGCAAGTTGTGCTGTAGCTACCAAATAGCCTTTGTCTGCTCACTATTTTCCATATGAATAAGATCAGGACGAAGCCTATAGATCTCAGCCCTCATTAACGCCCAGAGGTTCTCAATTGGGTTTAGATCAGTTGAGTGCGGAAGAATGACGATGCGAGCCAGTGACATACCTCTCACAGGTTTACCTATCACTGGGAGGCAAGGGCGCATTCTTCTTACAAATTAAAACACAACTCGACAAATAAACAGAGACGACTCAATTGACTGAAAATAGTACAAGTACCGTGGGTATCCAACTCCACATATCCTTGACATCCTTTTCAGATGATTATAAATTCACACAGCACTCTCGAGGTACATGTGTTAAAACAAGCTCTCGTTCATCCATTTTATCAGCCCAGAGGATTGAAATTTCGCTGAGGAATCGTGGAGATGATGATAAACCAAAGCCCAAAATTGGGATATCATCGGATTATTGTTGCTTGTGGTAAGTGCCTTCCATACTTTGGGTTATTGCAAGAATCTGTCAGCGAGGAACTCAGTTCTGATTCTTCAGGATTGATTTTTTTTTTTTTTATTCACATCAATCTCTTTTCTTCCACCCTTGACTAATATATCGTCTTTGGTAGAACATTGCCGAAGGCGGAAGGTTCGATGCCGTGTTGACGAACATGATGAGCACGGACGCTGTGAAAATTGCCTTCGGTTAGAAAAATCGTGTAACTTCTTTCGCAATCCTCGCGGCTTCTCATCGACAACTAAACGGAGGATACGGCCATCTATGATTGAGGGAATGCCCTTGCAGAGTCATGTCTCCAATCCAATGTTCGTTCCCGACAGCCAACTTCTGAAAGCTGCATATTTAGAAGAGATGCGTAAGTTGACTGAAACACTAAATCCAAGCATCAATCCCGACATAAGTACTAGTCAGAATGATTCTCACTATTTCAAAGACAGGACTAATTCGTTGGATGGCCCATCTGCTGGGATTCCCTCGAAGCTGACGGCACAGCCACCAATTACGTCATCATCACGAGTGATTCAGAAAACTTCTTCAGGGTCTATGCTTGGATCACCAAGCTCGCTGAAAATCCGTGCACAAGGTCAAGAGCGTGCACAAATGGCTGATCTAGAACTTTTTGCCTCCAATGGAAACCTCGCATTTCACTTTAGAGAGCCACAAAATCCCCTGGATCCGACGCAATATGCCATTTGTCACTGAACGAAATGTTTTTATGTCCCACAGCCTGAGGCCTGGGCCCATGACACCCATAGAACGATTTCAAACCCCCTGGATATTGCAAAATGGAGCAGGCCAGTCTTTTTAGAAACGCCAAGGCCAACAAGACGCAGGGAAGGGTCTCTAAACGGATCGTGCTCATTCATGTACTCTACTTCGTGGAATATGCTTTCGGCGTCCTCAAGTTTCATCGACGGGCAAGCAGAAGACAAAGTCACATATGATTGCGAGAGCAGATTTTCAGCAGCATCTTCACGTGGGATTTAAGATTGAATTTAATCGAAAGCTTATCTACAGGCTTCTAATCCACCAACTCAATGAACTTTAAGGTCTAGAAGAAGATTGGCCACACTCATCACAATCTCGGCCTGTTAAAATATATATAGCATATTTTAACAGGATATTTTAACGACTATAACTGTGTTAGAATTTTCTCTAACGCCAGAGTCATGGTCACGATGTGCTGGGTACTTGGAATAAACTTCGTGGACCGCAGGGCCGGCCCACAACGACGACTCCTGCCATGTCCGGGAGCCAATCGGTCTCTCGGCTTTTAGTGCAAAAACCGGAGACATTCTTACATAAGTTCATGTGGTCTGTTCATAATTGGCACAGATTTTTACAAGCTGTCTGCTAAAATTATTGGAATGACGGTGGAATTTGAGCAGATCGAGAGAGGAAGTGTCGGGCCCAAAGAGAGTATACTTACTACGAGGAAGGTTCATGCAGGACAGAATATATAGCTTCTAGAACGTTCTACACACCGGATAGACAAAGAGCAGCTTGCCACTTGACAGGGGAACTTACTCTCTTGTGAGAGCAACCAGGAGAACACAACCACGGATCGGGTTTTAGCCTACCATTCTGTCGCCAAAGTGTGTGTGATACTCACCTGCCCCAGCAGTGCCTCCTAAGCAACAAAGACATGTTCCATTCGCAGGCTGAGGGCCGTCAAGTTTGGTTTGTGGATTGTGTCCGGACCTTTGCAAATCCTTCCAATCTCTTCTCCGGGCCACAAACAGAACCTCCTTGATATACTGTCCCGAGGGTCGTCCCTGGGATCTGCATCGCAAACCCTTACCTGCGTCTGTCTAAATTCACGCATGGTGTTTGATTGGTCCGTCGGGTGCTATTTGTATTCAGGGTCTCATCAGTGTGATAGTAGCGTTGCAATCTTGCGAGGGGGTGGCGATCACGAGAACCTAGCTCGTGAGCCTTGGTTGCAACAACGGACATGGCTGTCCTAAAAACTAGGCTCGGTTTCCTATAGAATGTTTTCCAATGAGGTCTAAACTTTGATTATGCCTTCCCAAAGAAAGACAATCTTCATACTGAGTTTAAGAGTATGTCAGTGCCTGCGCGGCCAGAGAGTAGAGATTCTAGTAAAGGCAACATTAGCTGGCAGCGAGTAGACAGGAAAGGAACAACAAATCAGCGGCGCGGGGCCAAGGATGAACAGGATTGATTCTAGCGAGACCAAAGGGTCCTCCGGCCAACCGCAGGTACAGCTCAGCGTTTCTGTCGGCCAAAAAGTCTCCAACCCATTAGTTCGGCATCTGTTGAAGCACTTCAACCCTCATGAAAGAGACGGTGGCCGTAGCTAGAACAGGCAAATGTAGAGTGCCACCACGTTAAGCGATTTAATTACAAACTCAATGATATGTAGGGATCATATTTTTGCGGCGTTACTGTCTTTTCAACAGTTGATGAAAGTGCTTCACCACGCTCAACGCAGGTTTTGAAAGCAATGAATTCAGGTTGAAACTTGAGTCTGTAGGCCACAAAATCTCCAAACACCATTTCAACGTCGTTTGACTCGCTTCAACGCCTATCAACGAGACAGTGATTCTCGCTACCATCTGCGCAACCGGTTTCTTGGTAGAGACGTAGCCGAAAAAATATAAAAAAGGGGCCGGAATCCCAGCCCAAAAAAATCAGGACTTCGGTCCTGGCTTATACATGTTGCAGTAGCTCTCAAAGTAGGGTTGAGCTGTGACACCATCCAGCTTCATGTTACCAAGCATATCAGCATCGACGTCTTTGTTAAGCCCCATGCCGACTCCATAAGATCGTTTGCTGCAAAGCCCACCATTCAATGGTAATTGGCTGTTGTCCAGAGTATCCGAGATCTCACCATGAGCGTAGATGCTAAGAAGAACGCCCTCTTCTTCCAACTGCATCACATAATCCCCGTCGTATTCCTCTAAGAATAGCACGTGCTAAATTAAGGCCACATCAACAGCTTGTGAGCCTCGGTAGTGTGTTCAACGGAGATTGAAAGCTCATATTCAGCCTCAGGCTTCGAGCCGACGTGGGTTGGATCCATAGGGCCAAGACTTTGACCATAGTTCGAAACAGCCACTCCTTGTCTCCCGGATTCTAATAAACTCGTACCTGTAAGATGAGTCAGTAGCTCGCCTTGTCTGGGGGGAGATACGAGGGTACCGGGATGTTCCTGAGTACCTTGAATGGGCTTGTAAAACTGGTTTGGTGGTTCTGTTGGGCAGACAACTGGTGCACCGTTTGCTGGTGGCTTAGCTGGGCCTTTTGTAGCACCCACGTTTGGGCTCTCAAGCGGTGCTCCATCACCGTGAAACGGTCCAGCAAAGTTCAAGTAGACTTGTCTTTCTTGTGCGGCGACACCTCTTTATAAACACAGATCAAATAGTTTTTTCTGCAGTAGCTACAATTTGGTCGTTCCTCATCACGCTTGACCTTTTTAGCCGGGCATTAATCACAGGCCTATAGCCCTGGAGGTCAGTTATATCTCGCTCGGAATAAATTAGCCACTAACCTGCTTGGCCCTCGCCGCCCCACACTGGTGCGCTCCATGGGTCTGATATTGGTAAAAGGTCGGGCCAACCATTTGTGGATTGGACGTCATTATCTGCGAATGTAGAGCAAAACGGCGGGTTCTTTCTTGTCGGGCTCTTGGTTGGATAGGCTTTCATTTAAAACATTCAGAGAAGTTCAAAACCAACAAGGTGATTCGCAAACGAACCCCTCTCAAATCGTTTATTCGTGTTGGGTGTGGTAATATAGCTTACAAGTAGGTCACGTAAAAAGTTTAGAGCTTTTAATTAGTGGTTGTACTTGAATGTGCAACACTGTCGAAGGCTTATATGCTCTCCTCTGGTTCACCGTAGGGTATTCTTGAACTGCGTATAAATACAGCAACGGCTTCAGCGATAGACGACAAAGGGCAAGCGCTACTATAAAACCACATGAGTGATTAGCAAGCTGTTTCAAGAAAACGATGGAGAAAAAAAAACGCAAGAGTCGATACCGAACATTTCTTGAGCTTATGATTTAATGGAGAAATGGGATCATGGCAACTAGACCAGTTGAGGTTGTGATATTCAGTGAGAGATTTAGTACAGCAATATAGGTGCTCCCTTATTTTGTTAAACAAGGCATTCCAATAATAATAATAACAAATCAAGATAAAGCCTAGTCGCTCATGATCGGACCCCAAAGCCTATTTCTCTAGGTATAAACGGTTCGGATGAGACGATACTCACAGTCAAGGCGCCAGGCAGTTATCCAATATCTACGACCAGCTTGGAAAAGCTGTCAACCCACGACTAAGCTCTGCAATATTTTCTATTGCCACAATGCGTGATTGATTATATTCTCCCACTGCTTGTCACTGACCACCCACGGTTGATGTCATTTGCTGAATGTCATTCACTTGGCTTATTGCCGCTCACTGCTTTCCGCTCCCTTTCCCATGGACCCCCATTCTTTAGTGCTATTCCTTTAAGAACCGTTTTTGATTCAGGTAGTGCTGTTGGAAGTAAATATTTGAACTACAATTTCTTTTTCTTTCAGTAAATGAGAAATAACATGAACCCTGCCCTCGTTCAACTTTCGTAGGCATTTCTAGCCGTAGAAATGTTACAAGCCGGATATCACATGAGCACGGATGCGGGGGCTCACAAAAAGGACGTGAGTTCCGCATGGTCAGAACCAGGCTAGATGTAAGATCGGCTCATAACAAGCTTTTTGTATGCTTCAGCAGGTTCGACTTGTAAAATACGAACTGCCAGGCTAAATTTCGGGAGGCCACCAATGCGGGAGGCCACCAATGCGGGAGGCCACCAATGCGGGAGGCCACCAATGCGGGAGGCCACCAATGCGGGAGGCCACCAATGCGGGAGGCCACCAATGCGGGAGGCCACCAATGCGGGAGGCCACCAATGCGGGAGGCCACCAATGCGGGAGGCCACCAATGCGGGAGGCCACCAATGCGGAAAACATTAAAGCCAGTAGAGTGTATATCTTCCATACTGACTTACGCTATCGAAAGTGGTCTAGCGAAGTAAATGCAATACTAGGTCTTATATCCACCTACCAAGTTATCTGTCCTATGCATGAGATACCAAGCAAATTGGCCCAGAGATACATTGTAAGAGCTCTTGTAATCCGAAGCAAAAGCACTTAAAGAAAAGTTTTCTACACCGCTATTATCTCGGCATATGGCGGTATACCAAATAAGAACATGAGTTTAGGTCATAAATAAGAGACTTCCAGTATCTAAGAGCAGTTTGAAATTTCAGAACATACTTTTGAGGATGTCGAACTCGAAATGCAGAGAACAGAGTGGTCCGTTACTATCTACCTCGATTATTTCTCAAAAAAAGCGTCTTTTCTATTGATGACGCCAAGGCTGACCATGGAGGTAGATCCGAATCTAGCATATCACATGAGTCTCTTGAAGATTGACGATTCTGATGACCGCGACGACGATATCGTGCTAGCCCCCATTTTTACGGGCCCAGTTCTCAATAAATCCGGCCAGACTCCATCCCAGTTTGGCCTATTGGGAGGACTGAAGAAGCTTGAAGCCCCTGGTTATCCAATTTCTCGGAAACAACTTTTTGAAAAAGACCCGCGACTCTTTTTCAATGTTTCATCGCCATCGAGTACCTTCATCTGCGGCTCTCAGGGGTCGGGTAAAAGCCATACCTTATCCTGCATACTAGAAGGCTGTTTGATCCCCTCTAAGGCTGGTAGACTTTTAAATCCCTTGACAGCTGTCGTTTTTCACTATGACACTTTCATTTGCGATAATGGCGGTTCTCCTTGTGAGGCTGCATTCCTCGCATCTCACTCTCAGATCAATGTCAGAGTTCTGTGTGCTCCAACAAACATTAGAACTATACAGGTAATCTAACTTTAGCCTAGGAATGTTATTGCCTCTGACATATATATTAGGGGACCTACGCAAGATTCAATATCAAGGTGGAGCCTTTGCAAATAGATCAAGCCAACTTGAATACCAAGCGCATGCTAGACCTTATGGCTGTCGGCCAAGATAAAGGGCCAGTACCTTTGTACATGCATACTGTCCAGCGTATTCTACGGGAGATGCGCCTTTTGCAGCAAGAGCACGCGTCCCAATTCGATTACCAAGAATTCAGAAGGCGAGTTCTTGATTCTGATCTTCTTCCTGGTCAACTTGAGCCCTTGAAGCAACGCCTAGAGACGCTTGAGAGCTTTATGCCTTCCCAGCAAGCAAAGCCAACGAGTGGGCTAAACAAAAAAAAGGGAAAATCCCAAGGGGCAGGCTCGAGCTGGGCACCAAAGGTTAGACTCTGGCAGTCAGTCCTAGTATCACAACGAGAAACTAATTGCTTGGCCAGCCATCACAATTGACGATCATTGATCTTTCCTGTCCGTGCATATCTCCTGATACGGCTTGTTCTCTGTTCAATATTTGCTTTGAAATATTCATGGAGCAGGACACAAAAATTGGCCGAGTAGTTGCACTCGATGAGGCCCACAAGGTTCGTCACTCACGAATAGGATCTCATACCGATGGATATTGACGTGCTCTGTGTAGTATATGAAAGATTCAGTGGAAGCGCGCAGCTTTACAGATACCCTTCTTTCAACTGTCAGGTTGCAACGCCACCTTGGGGCCCGCATCCTTATTTCCACCCAAGAGCCAACAATTTCAAGCGATCTCCTCAGTCTATGCTCAGTCACCATTGTCCACAGATTCTCCTCGCCAGCATGGTTACGTGCACTGAAAGGGCACGTGGCTGCAGCAACTTTGGGAACACAATCCAATGGGGAAGCAACGGCCACCGTTGAAGAAGACTTAGCCGCGCCCGAAATATCAGGCAAGCTCTCATTGTTCTACCGAATTGTCAATCTTCGGGTCGGTGAGGCCTTGCTGTTCTCACCTGGTGCCGTATTGGGTTCTGCGGCAGAAAATCCTAGCTCTCCAGGCCTGAGTAGACTGGGTGCTGGGTATTTAGTAATCAAGATCCGAAAAAGATTGACGGAAGACGGTGGAAAAAGCGTTATATCGTCTTAGGATTGCAAGATGAGCAAGTTATTGAACGATTCAACTCTTAGCAAACGACCTGTGTTACGACTTATCAGAATGAATATGAATTATCTTTGGAGATTTTATTAAACTTTGACTACGCAAGACTTCGACTTGATGCTCTTGACAGTGAGCTTCGAACCTTAATGTCTTCAGCATCCTCAATTGCGCTATCTTTGGATGGTTGGACAAGTCAGAATTCATTGCCAATGCTAGCAATTAATGCTCACTGGATGTCCTCTGCCTTCCAGCAATATCGAGCTTGTATTGAGTTCGTTGAAATTGAAGGCAGCCACTCTGGAGAGAGCCTTGCTGATATCGTTGCGACGGTTCTCGAGGGGTTTCATATATCTGATAAAGCTATGACAATCAAAGCTGACAACGCATCGAATAACGACACCCTACACTGATATCTATACCAAAAGCTGTCTCAGCGATACGATTAGTACCTGGCCGAGACTATCATCCGAGAAGGGACGATGAAATTTACCCATAACTCCCAAATCTGCTGCTTTCCTCACATCTTGAACTTGGTTATGAAAACTATATTGAGGTCTCTACGCGCTAGTTTGCATAAGGAAGTCTGTGATCTCCTTGATGATGTTGCTAAGCGGAGCTGGAAGACGGTCAACGCTCCTACCTCGCCTATTGCAAAGCTTCGACTACTTGTCCTTTGGATTGTACGTTCTCCTCAGCAGATACAAAAGTGGGATAATCGACCTTGCTGTACAAAGGCTATCAACCACAATGTTGATACTCGACGGAACTCTACCTTTGCTAAGTAGGAATACAGTAGCTGACAAGTCCGACTTCTATAAGATTCACACTCTTTTGCTCTTCCTCAGCGCCACATCCGTGCACTAGTCTATAATGAGCTTGGGCTGTATATTAAGTATTTCACCTAATTATCATATCAGATCATACCTAAACGCACCACCGTTCAAAAAATAAAGATTTCCAGCAACGGAGTGGATTTTCTGGATACTGTAGGAAATCCATCCAATGGTCAGATTGCCATCCTCAATCGAATATTTCTTGTTCCGTAGGAGGCTCAACAGGGGGTTCGACGGGAGATAGAAGTTTGTTGGCAAACCTTCCCTTTTTTTCTTTTTTGCTACCTTCGTTGGAATAGGAGCTTCCAACAGCTGCTCCGGCTCTGTATTATGCTTTTGAGCATACTCATCTTTGTCAGGTTGCTCTAGTAGATCCGGCCTGATTGATCTGGACTGTCTGTCGATTGATTCAGAGTCAATCGCATCAACCAAGCTACAAGAGCTAGAAGATAATGTGGTCGGATTGTTTTGTAAGCTAGCCTGTATTTCATTGATGGAATCTACCGGCTTGGTCAGTATAAGTATGGGCGTAGGCTGACTTAGGCTGACTTCTCTTACCAAGGCCTCTGATGCCAACGAAACGTTTGCAAGTATCCGAACCTTTCTTGAGGATCCACAATTTTTTATTCAATTGTTCCCGTTGGCTTTGGCTCTCCTCAGATTCACCGGCGACTTGTCTGATCAAGTCTTTGGGCATCTCGAATGCTGTTATAGGTGTAAAAAGCGTAGGAATTGCACCCAGAAGCTTTACTTCGATTACTTTAGTGGCAATGTCATCTGGTATCTTGCCACTGAGTTCTGTACCCAAATTCTTGGCGTTGAGACGTGCCATATTACCCATGTTCAAGGTCATAAAACAGATGGTTATCGAATTCTTCATGAGGAAGAGACCTTGATTGTGCCTTTGATGCGAGGTGGTGAACCAATGGCATTGGGCGTGAACAGGGTTTTGCCACTTGCCATGTTTCTTCATGCAAAAAACCCAGGCGATATTCAGCATAAGCATCTTCAAGGTCGCGAGACAATCTTTCTCGTTGACTCGGTAGTCAACACCGGCCAGTCAATCTTGGAATTCGTGCAGCACATTCGAAACCTTCATGCCTCTATCCGCATTATCGTCGTTGCTGGTGTCATCCAGGCAAAATCGGTTTCCACCAGTATGATTGCGCAAGAGCTCTCGCGATTCCGGCGTTTGTCCTTCGTTGCTCTTCGCCTGTCGAATAATCAATTCACCGGCAAAGGGCCCACCGATACGGGGCACAGACTGTTCAACTCCGTGCTCCTTAATTAGTTGTATGCGGGAGTGTGGTACCATGTGAACATTTTCTTCGTTGGCTCAATTATGTCGTGGTAAACTTGGAAATATTTCTGTCTTTCCTTCGTGCTGCATAGTAGGAAAAGATACAGTTCGCATTTTCTCGCCATGGTTTCCTCTTTGCTGTGAAATCACAAGAACTAGGCTTGAGTACTTCAAGTCTTACCTTATCCTAGACTAGTTTTGAGTATCGATGAGAGTTAGCCCTGGCTTGAACAACAAGATATAGGTACTGGAATTTGTAACGCAGATCACCGATCGAGCATCTAATACGTCTCACGGCTCTGGTAGGTGGTTTAAGTCTTTAGAAGTGGGTCGCAATAAGAAACCTAATGCTGCAATTCCATAGAAGTCTCTACGTGAGACTTAACGCTGTGCTCGTTGAGAATCTTTCCCGATGCTTCATGCATTCGGCCAACAAGTGCCGGCCTCACGGGGACCATTTTAATAGAAACCAAAGTTGTTCTAGTTTTAATTTTAATTTTTTCTTAAATATAGGTATTAATTTTGACGAGCTTTTCTATTGAATGCTTAATATCCTAGGGTTCCTAGGTGTACTTGTTGGATTGGGCTCGGGTTGGCCTTATAGATCATACTCACCATGTCGGTGGTGGTGACTGCAAGTAACATATCCCCCATGACACGCACCGTCCGTGGGCGCAAAGCTACACCACCCTCATTTATCGAGTCAGCTCATGGGTATTTGCGAGCCTGTTCGTGTGTGAAAGCGCGCCGTTCACGCTTCTTTCACATCTATCAATAGCATTGGTCTGGTCAGCCAGTTTACAAAACCACTTGCATGTTTCGCGGCACTCCTCCAACGATGGCACGCGGCCAAACAGGCAGCCAGCTTCTCTTTTAGCTTCGCCAAATCGACCGTATCCAGGATGATACCAACTTCGGCTTCACACATCAGCACCAAACGGGTGCCTGCGAGTGCTCTATTGTTCTGACCTGAGGTAATGGGCTACGTAATGAAAGGGAGTAGGACATCTAATACCAGACAAGATGACATCAACGAAAATAGTGGCGCTGGAGAGATATACCGCTTTACAGCTCTCCAACTTCGAGATGACCTGAACACCTGGTGATTGAAATGTGGTCGGTTACTTCGAAACTGATATAGAAAACTGAATATGCTGACATGAATCAACCCTGGACACTTCGACTGAAAATATACATGTGATAACCCATACCATGTTGAGGGGTTTGTATAATGATATATCGCAGTCGCCCAGGGTCGACACCCTGTCACAAAAGTCCCTGTTTTTGGACCCTGCAACCACTTTGATTACTCGGAACGCTCTAAATATCACCTTGACCACAATGCCCACAAAAGAAGCACTGTTGGCAATACCGCGGGGAAATTTGGAGCCACCGGCAGTTAGGACGCGTCTTACATATGATGTTTGAACTTTGAGTTCACGACAAGTTCCAAATGCTCAAATGAAAGATAAATGTGAGAACATTGTTGCATGAGGGGTGTTTAAGGTGTGTTCCCCGAGTGCCTACGCAGGGGTCCTTTCGCCGAATGGGTTTAGTAACATGGCCTTCCTTGAGATCTGAGAGAGAACAGATCCGTGCTTGAAAACCCCGCTTCTATTCCACGAAATAAAGCCCACTCATACTTGCATAAGGTCTATCTCTTCTTCTCAGACGCACGGCACCTTCCAATCCCGTAGAATGAGACATACCAACAATGACCCATCCTACAATTTTGGTTCGCCAACAGGTTCTAAATTATGCTCCTAGAGGCCTATGAGCTTGGCCGATTAACAGAAACCTTTTACAGTACTGGCCAAGGCGCCCATAAGGATACAGACTTGCAGCGCCGCTTCTGTCGATCGGAAAGAAAGAGTGCAAAGTTGGCCCGAATGTGCATGAAAATGGAAAAGACATGTTTCCCGCTCCCTTGAGCAGGTTTTTTATATGGCTGTACGTTCTCGGCTCCTTCACGGTTGTTGAGAGTGCCTCACTTGCATGCCCTCAGTCTTTTAGTCTCCTGAGTCTCAACACTTGATGCTTACACGGATTTAAATGCAAAAGATTTCCATACATATTCAAATAATTCTACATTTAAAGGCAAAGAAATAGAAGCCGCAGACGCCAATATTATGGGAATGCGAAGTTCGGATATGCGCTAGAGAGAACGTCTGGTATGCAACAAGACGTTTCAATACTCGTCGTTAGATGGCTGCCACGGTGGGCTTTTCCTGGAGCAAGAAGAGAGAAGATATTGGCCAGGTTCTATAAGAGCGGAAATCTTTGCGACTCAGGGCAGCATCTGTAGGACTGCCCTACGCGGGCGACCACAAGATCTCCGGCACTGCTCTCTTCTTCAATAGCTTTTCGAGGATCGTCAACAATTTTGAAGCACCCTTTATTTGCGCCCAGTGAAACGTCTGGAAAGATTGGTTGCAATATTTCTGTGTCTGCGTGAGTCCGACAGCCGGCGAGAAATGACCGAAAAAGTGGGCTAACCTCAGTCTCCTTGTGCGACAGTTCAGAGCTGGCAAACAGCGAGATAATGGATATCCGAAAGAGAAGGGTGCCGATGAGAAGAACTATAAACGGCCTGGCGTTATTTTAGATGCAGGTGGGAGACATATGGCCATTAGACTCACTGTCAAAGCCGGTGTCTTCACTGCGACTTTGTAGACTGGCCATGCTCATACTTCGGGCTGATAGAAAAGCTATAATCTAGATTTTCCAGGTTAGAGAATTATTGAAATCCGTGCATGGTCTCCCCGCTCACCTTATAGAAACGGTTGTTATCAGAGATGCAACCACCACAGGATGGGAAATTCTTCAACTGTGATCCACGGTGAGGCTCTAGCCTAGAGACATTACGTCTTATTAATTTATTTACAGGCCCTCAAAGGAAGTACACAAGGAAGTGATTTAGAGCGTGACGTGCCATCCTTTCGCAGATGTGTTGGCCAGGCGGAGTGGGTCGTACTGTTAACTGTCTTTCATGGCAAACACAAGACTAACCGACCCCGCAACAGTAGAAAGAGACGCAATGCATGGCAACATGAGCCCCCGACCCGGGAGACCGCAACAATGAGTATGTCTGTGCACAGCAGAATTACGTTGAGACCTGCACGAGTATCGAGGCAGTATGACATGGCTTCAATCTAGCTTGCGTCGAGTAGCGAGTTAGGATAAGCAAAAGACGGGGATGCAGATTGAAAGGCAAAGGAGAATGACAGGGCGGAAACCGTTGGAAAGCAATAGAAAGGGAGGGAAAGACAAACAAGATAATGGCTAGCGTTGGGCAGCAAAGCTGGATGACGAGATTGCCCACAAATTATCTAGGCGCAATGAGTCAGAAGAAGTGTAGCGAGGAAGAGAAGATAGATTCTAGAGTATATACATCAAGCTTGCAGCGGGCATATTCACAGGTCAAGAAAACTGGTGTCTCTGTGATCTTCATTTTGCAAACTTTCTCGAGTAGGACATAATGAGCGGAGGACATTTAAGGTCTCCGCTGATCTCCCACCAGCCTAAAAGTCTGCGGTTGCTTTACGAGCCTCTCTGCTTGCTCCACACTCTGAGTGAAGTCCGAGGGGATCGAATCAAGCCCGGCGATATATCCCTTGAAGGCCCGGGGTTGACTGCCCCCAGATGTTATCGATCCTTTGTTGACGCCATTGCCTATATATGTGCATACCAGAAGAAACCTGGCTACGTCACCGCCGCAGCCCTCGAAGAGGCCCCCGATGCGATAGTGGTTCTGCTGGCTGCCAACGATGGTATTGATCCGGCAGTCGTCACTCTTCTGGAGAAGGTGCTCATGATACTTTCATGGGTTATCGATAAGCCTACGGTTCGACTAGACACGGATGAGGGCCGAGGGGTAATGAAAATATTGACTACCCATGTTTTGGACCTCAACACCCCCAAAATTTTCGAATACTACCAGCAGGTGAAAAAGTTTGTCCCGTGGATGATGGGAAAATTGGGTACCGAGCCTGGACCACCACGAGCAGATCATGACAGCATCCTCAACATCCGCGACTGGTTTGCAACGTACTTTTCGAAGGGCAGTATGCAGCTCCAGGAAAACGATATGCCAAGCCTGGCCCTCTCCAGCTATAGGGACCGGGAGGTGTTCAAGGCCTTACATCACACCACCGGGGGCCTTGAACAATCCCGTAATTTCGAGAGTCTCCATAAGCTGCTCTACAAACTGGGGAAGCACGTGGCTCAGTGTAAGCGACTGATCCAGGCCACCATTAGGCTTCGCTCGGAGTTATCGCGAGGTTTGCGCATCGAGACGATTGGCGGGTCGTGCCTCGGAGAACGCGACCTAGCAAATAAAATTAACACTGATCAATTACAGTTTGACAGAAGCGGGGGTGGGCAGGTATGCATTTAGGCCGCAAGTTTTGGTCTGATACACGTAATAAACCAAATCCTCAAACCCAGCAAGCTTTGAAGAGACGTGAGCTCACGTCAACTTCCTTATTCCCTATGAGAGACAAACGAGTCTCACTACTCAAATATCGTACCCCTCACGGTTCCAGCATGGCTCAGTCAGACAAGTGTCTTCCATGGCCGCCTAAGCCACTACTCTAATCGAACTCTCTCTCAGTATAGAATGTAAAATTGGAAGCAACAACGGGGGACCCACTGATTTTATGTAGACGAAGCCACGTGCCAATTTTAGCAAGAATCCATTGTATTTGAGTCTGTGGTCGGACGGGTTACCTTATTGAAGCTACTCATCTATTACACGGATACGCTATGATAATTAAGGCTACCACGGCGGACAAGCAGTATATCATCCAGGCAGAGGCAGACAATTATTTTCATATTAGGAGCTTACAAGGGAAACACATCCCCGTCTGTCCTAAGACATTTGCGCCACGAGTCTCATCTTGGTACAGCAGTAGTACTAACTAGTATAAATAGATTTCATTTACCCTGAAACGAAGGAACGGAGTGAAAGGGGTTACAAACCGCGCGCCTGCGCGACCCCGGCTTCTTAACGCTGCCAACAACACAGCGACACACACAGCCAACTTTAGCGCCAAGCCTCTGCCTCATTGGTGTTTGGTTGGATTCCTGTTCACGTGCTTCTGTCGTCTTTTGTGTGCGTTTTGTCTCGTGTGCGTTTTGTCTTCGTAACACGCTACACAGTGCGTCTCTCGTACTCTTGCCTTGCAAGGATCATCCTGGCATAATGCATCAACTGCCCCTTCACTTCTGCTATTGCGACCTTCTGGCTCTTCCCGTATTGCTCCTTCACCATGATATCTGTCTGCTGCACTCTTGTCATTCGCCAGTTCCTTTCCCCTTGTCCTTGTCGCTCTTTCCTCTCGTCCCCGGGTCTTTCCTTTGCACCAGTGGTTTCTCATTGATTATGTCTCTTAATTACCATCCATGCTTTATACGTATTGCAAGCCCCGTGCTACCCCGGTAGGTTAATCGATATCCATTTTACTCTTCGTATTTTCCTTGCCATGCATAGTATCATTTCGCCTTTCCTATTTTCCCTCTGCACATTTCTTTCTACTTTCCCCAAACTGCTGCCCACCTATGACCTCTTCTGCGCCCAACTTGCGATGCTCGTCGTGCAAGCGACCTTGGCAGCAGTCCTTGTATAAAACGTGCGAAGCCTGTCGCCAGAAGAGCCGCCGCCACTGGCGCCGTCATCGCCCGCTAGCGACTGCTGATACGCCAAGCCCTCCTTCTACACAATCTGTGCTACCCTACACAGATCTCCCCTCGTCTTCTCCGCGTACTTTCTGCTCTCAATGCTGTCGACCGTGGCAGTCTGCACGGTATAAGACGTGTGATAACTGTCGCCAGAAGGCGCTGCCACATAAATCCCGTAGTCGGGTGCTCCCCACCACCGAGAACCAAGGAGTCTCTATAGAGCCCGTTGATAACGTGAGAGACGGCTTTCCTGGACGCATTTTACCAGCTTCGACTGCGACACGCCGCCTTGCACCGCTTCTTCAGCACCATGCTAAACGGCAAAAGATCATAGACGCACAGCCACGCAATGTCGATGACTCTTTAGACAAGGCACTCGGCTTTCTGCGTAATGAGCATGAGCGTCATGCAACTGCTTCTCAGTCCTTCCCCCCGGAGATAACGTCCACTGACATACGGAGGTCCGTTTCCAGATACGAGGAAGCCACTTCAACCGCCTCCAAAATATCGGTGTGTAGCTCTTGCGGTAAGGTTGTTCCTGAAGCTAAAATTTTCCCCGTTGATGACGGGGATCCTTTGCTCTTACCTCTAGGTGGTGCTCTCGATCGCTGTGGCCAGCATGGAAGCACCTGGGACGTATGTTCGTCGTGTCACGCAGCCCTTATTCGTGGGGCCACCCCTAAGTTCTCGGCAAAGAACCTCGTCAACGTGACTCTTTGCCAGGAATACCCATCTGCATTGGCCGAGCTCACCCTGGTTGAAGAGTGCGTCATTGCAAGATGCCACCCTCTAGGAGTCATTGTGAAATTACGTCCAGGCGGCCGCCGATCTTCGATCAGCCATCGTGCGCTACGAGGTCATTTTATTGTCATTCCACAGGACCCAGGTCCGCTTCTTCAAATTTTACCAAGTCCGAGTTTGAGATTGGATAGCCTGATCAAGGTTTTCTGGTTAGGGGATCGACCACCAACGGATGCGGACCTAAGTCCGTTTTTGATTATTCGCAGAGTCAAAGTTCTCGCCACGTTACAATATCTCGTTCGAAACAATCATCTATATCGGGAATTATTCATTAATCACTCGATGATAGACAACTGGAGCGATGAGTTCATTCCTTTGGAGCTGCGGGATAATATTATCCGTCTCGACGAGCCGGACCATCACGAACGTGAAGGGTACACGGTTAGCCTAGCACAGGGTAACTACGAGAATGATCTCCAAGCAGCACAAAATGAAAGTTTCCACTCCAACGACTGTGGTCTCTTCCTGACTGGTTCCGTTTCCACTGATATCAATGGAGAACGCCAGAACCCTGACACACGCATGTTGCACACCTTACTCGATGTGGTCGGCGGCAGATCCTGTACATCCGAACAAGATTTAGAAAGAACGGATCCTGCACTGGCATGCCCTAGAGCGGGCCAAAGAATTCCAGTAATTTCTTATACGACTCGTGGCCAAGTTGCATTGATGGATCATTGGTCAGACCCTCATTACTTTACCGCCGCGTTCCCCGCCTTATTTCCAAAGGGGGTCGGAGGCCATCTAGACGAGCGTACCATCCCAGTGTCCTTGAGTGCTCTTTCTGAGTGGGCTTTGAGTCACCACAGCAGAAGGTAAACGGACTATATGAATGGATTCAGCTATTCCATAAGTGGACGATTAATCGTACGCTTGGTGGAAAACGGCTGGTGTTATGCGACCGTTTTGGCTCCCATTTAACACGCCAATTCATTGAATTTTGTAAGAAGAATAATATCATTTTATTCTTCTTACTCTCACATACCAGCCATATACTACAGCCTCTCGATATAGGAGTGTTTAGCGTCTATAAACACTGGCATAGTGAGGCTGTTGAAGCGGCTACAATGACTGGATGCCGCAAATTCTCGAAGGATGAATTCCTACACATTGTATCGCCGAAATCAGACGAAAAACCTTCCGGCCGCATACAATTAAGCTTGGATTTAAATTGACAGGCCTCTGGCCTATCAATCCCAAGCTTATTACTGATGAATTGGAGTCGTATGATCCATATCATGACAATTTACCCCGGCTGGATACCCCGTCAACTGGCTCTCAAAACACGGAATTCAGCACTCCAAAAACAGCTGAGAGAATTCGAAGAATTAGCTCTTGTCTTAGTTAATACGATCCTACCACTCAGCGTTTCAAAGACGGGTTAGAAAAGCTTGCAAAGGGCGCTGAAGCGCAGGCTGTATTAGCTCTCCAGCTACAGCCTGAATTCGATCGTACCCAGGCTATTATGGGAGCGCGCCACGCCAGATATGACAATTCGCGCCGTCATATACAGATCACCGGTATCATATCTTCCACCCAGGTGAAAGCAATGAAGCGAAAGGAATACAAATTGGACGAAAAGGCGGATCAAGAAAAGACCAAGCGCAAGTGGAAGAAGGTGTTGATCGAAATCAGGAAGCATGGAAGAGCCAAAAAACGCCGGGGAGATTAAATTGTTTTTGTATTATAGTAGTAAAATGGCTAATTGATTTCTTTACTATTTTTAATTAATTAATTTACTACATGGTGGTATGTAAAAGTGAGGTTAAAGTGGAAGATTGAAAAAATTGATCATTTAGATGATCCTGTTCATATGGGTGAAGGACCCTCGCGTAAAAAATGTAAGGGCCGGTTAGTCTACAGAGTTATTCCGGAGTATCCCTATCAGTGGGGCCTGTATTGTTTCTTAATCTGGATATGTAGCGGGGTGTATTAACCTGTAATTTGATACAACTGACACATCGATACCCCACTTTTGGAAGCCCCTTCAAAGTATGAGCTTATTTATATGTACCAGGTAATTGATATACTCAGGCCCGAATGGAGGGTTATAAGTGTTTTACGTTGGATATATCATTTTTGACTTTAACAATTCACTTGAACTACATCGATCAAGCTTGATTTGTGTTGCTGGTCCTCTCATCCGGCAATAAACTTAGCGGCAACACAGACGACGCTGCACCAAAGTCGCAAACCACAAACGACCACTTGGCCCTAGACATTCTCTGCTCTCGCACCTTTATTGTACTCTTCATCTGCGCACATGACGGCTCAATAGTAACAGCCGGAAGAACACCCCCAATCGGACATTTGGACAAATCCTTCCACCACCGTGGGGGAATATCCACACAGATAGTTATCATCTGCTCGTTGGACAAACTCACAAACCCGACAAAACGCCGCACTTCAGCGCCATGATTGCGACAGATTCCTTCAAACTGCCCCATAGCTTCTGAGAGAGTGATCGTACCGTCCGTCTCATAATTGAACGTATAATATCGCTGCTCACAAGGCCAACTGCGACAAAACGAACACCACGCCAACGCCATCGCAGTATGCTTGCAAAAAAAAATTAGACAAGACAACAACCAGAAGATGATAAAAATCGGCTCTCGTCTATCCTTCGTCAACTTACCGTATAAACAAACGAAAACAGAAAACTTTGCTTATGACGCAAACGGTCCTCCTGTCCTTGATGGTCCTTGGGGGAAAAAAAGTTAACTTGACATCAGGGGACACGCCCATTTAAATATGTAAGCCCCAAGGTCAGAAGTGAGATCTTGCCAGATTGACAGATTCTCAAGGCCCCACTCCAGCTCCTGACGTTTGGCTTGTTTGCATCACATGCACGCACCGCACCGTGGCGCGATGTCCATTCGTGTCCACATGCGAAGTTTCGGTTGTTGGGTCAACCACCATAATCGGGACATCAGCGCGGGCAGCCAATGATAATAATGAACCACTCCGGATCAGCACTAATCCGCAGCCCCACCCTAAGCAGCAACACGATATCGTTGTTTTGGCATTGCTCATAATTGTGACTAAGCACTCACCTACACCCTTTCCCGGTGTAGGTGAGCCCACACCTATTAACAAACCCATACCTGTTAACAAAAAAATCAACATTTCAATTTTAAACCTATTTTTCAGCCACCATACCATCTGGATCTACATATCTAAATAGCTCACTATTAACATCAAGATAATCTCTATCCCCTGATGCCTCTTCTTTTTCTTTGAGAGCCTGATTCGCGCGATGCCAGTAGTCTCGAATCCTTGCGTTCCCAGCCTCATGCCGAATATCCAATTTAGATTCCTTCGTACATCGCCGATACACCTTCGAATTGCCTGCAATTGATGATAATGGACTCTTAGCAGCACCTTTTACCATGCGCTTAGATTTTTTGATAGGAATTTTGTGGCTTTGCATCCTTTTTATCGTTTGTTTTGCAAGTGCTAGGTCTTGGATAGCCTGCTTACCACCACGAATTGCACGGTCTATATGCTTTTGAAGCTTTGGAAGGTCTGGTTCATCGTTCTCGAGTATCAATTGAACCTTATTCTCAACCTTTGAGAATCTTTGATCTGAATTAGGCGGCGAATTCGTTGCCGAACTGGGAAATTCACGGTCTGGTGACGGCGTATGACCATATATCTTAAGGACTGGTTCATCTTCCCAGCCAGGATCAATTTGATCACAAACAATATGTAAATCATAAGGCCAAAGACCTGTATCTCGAAATGATGATTTAATAGTCTGTGCCTTAAAGGTGTCTTTGCGAACTGTTTTGATCATTCGAAGAAAATGTCGTTTATCATCAACATCTCCACCCCATCGTACAATCTCATTGTTCTTTTTTCGGAATTTTTGTTTAAGAACTGAGAATGGCTTGCCATCAAGAGGCTGGCATCGATGTGTTAACTTTGGTATAAACCACCAAGGTATAATGTTGAAGCTTTGGCAAATATGTTCGAATTCCGGGGTTCCATGAGACCCATGATTATCCATAACCAAAATCCTAGGTCTGCCTTTAGCGACTCGCTTTTTAGTGGCATAATGGAAATCTAATAGCCATTGAATAGCAGTTTTATCATCCGTCCAGCCTTTGGCAGTTGGTTTAATAACCCTATAGTTGGTAGGATCATCATCGCCATCGAACCAATCTTCCATTTGTTCGGAACCACGCATTAAAAACCATGGATGCATAACCCAGCCATCGGCAGAGATGCATTCAATGCCGGTAATATTCTGGCCTATTCCACCGGTCGCAATAGTCTCATATTTACGGGTGGAAGCAACATTTTCCTTGGTTCCAATACCAAGCTGAAAGCCAGTCTCATCCCAGTTGTATAGTTCATGGGCCTGGATTTTATTCTTTTTAAGAAACTGGCCAAAAACCTGGTACCAATGAACTAAATCACTGTGTAATTCAGCTTCAATCCTTGCTTTTTCCATTGGTTTTTGTGTGCGTAGAGTAATATGGGGTGGTAGGCGTTGAATGAATTGATAGCCGTACATTTTGCCAACCTGCCGGTCGGAACCACAATGTTGTAAAAGACGATTCGCAGCACCCTCAATATCGATAGCAGTTGGCGGTGTATATACTGAATTGAGGTGCTCAATCCAGCGAATAAGAGAGGCCTCTTGTGAGGAATTTAGGGCCTTTTTGGTAGCTGCACGGCCTTTTCCATTTGTTCTACCGTCCTTTCGGTTTCGAAGCTTCCACTTTGAGACGCCAAAATGAGAGGCTGCGGCCTGAATACTAGTAAATTGGCCCGATTTATAGGATTCGAGGGCATTTGAGAGAAGAATCTCTTCTTTTTCGGAGGAATTCGGCATGGTTTTGATGGTAAAAAATAGGTTTAAAATTGAAATGTTGATTTTTTTGTTAACAGGTATGGGTTTGTTAATAGGTGTGGGCTCACCTACACCGGGAAAGGGTGTAGGTGAGTGCTTAGTCACAATTACTGCAGTGCTTTCCGGATCAGCGGATCCTTCAAATCCAGCCATTGTGCACTGGGTCTTGTCAATCCACCCAGGATGACCAGTTCAACCGTGACGCCGACGATGCGTACGCTTGGCTGAACATCGAGCTCCTGGCTAGACTTCCGCAAAGCCCAACACTGGGCCTAGATCTCAGGCCCAAGGCCCAACCCCCATGGGCTTTGGGCCCATTCTCTAAGGCCCAACCCAACCCCCAAGCCCATGGGGGTTGGGCTTTGGGCCCCCCAAAAGCCCAATTCCATGTATAACTACGGTCTTGGCGCTCATAAACCTGATGATTAATGACTGTTTTTTACAGATGCTCCACTCTGTAAGCCTATACAGTGCATACATCGGCCCGACGTTTTACCAGGCCTAATTAGGGGTTCAACTCCCTCAAGAATCAAGATCTCAAGATTCAACGGCGAGGAACTGGTAATTAAGGTCATGAATAAAACTAGCTACACTATACACTATAGTTTACCAAGATTATCTAAAGAAAAACACAATTTCATCAAGATTTCGTAGTATTCTGGCACTTAGGGAATCATCAAGTGTCAACATGCAGAGATATATATCTCATGCAGATAGAAGTAGGTACACCTTTCTGTTGAACTTCAATTTTAAGGGTCAACTTTATCAATTATAGGTTTACAGCATTGAATTTTATATCAAAAGATACCTAATCTTTTACTCTCGACGTCTACGTTCACAGAAACGCGATAATTTAGCTATTCCGGAGGTGAGAGAGGGTTAAAGATATGTTATGAGCCCTGGGGTGAAATGTTTTGCGCGAACAAATTGTAAAATGGGCGGGGAGATGGGTTATCTATGGGCTTTCTTGGGCTTTGGATGGGCCGAGTCCACTGAATATGCATGAATATACATGGTCTAGCCAATGAGATGCCAGGATCAAGGTCATACGTTTTAATGTCGACGGACATAATCTCTTTACATCTACTGTTTACGTCCTCTGTTTGCTACCGCGTCGATAGATCTCTCACTAAGAAGAAGGTATGTCGATTTCTTCCTCCTCCCTCACCCTGATTCCCCTAAAGCCCTTCATCTTCTGAATCCATTGACCGTCACTGATCATGTCGCAAAGCCAGGAAACCGAGCCTAGATCGTCTCAGTTGAATTTCTTCGACACTGATCTAGACGACTTGTCTCTTATTGCTACCCCGTCCGTCTGCCCAGCTACCCCGTCAACCTCTCGGCAGGTTGACAGCTTCTCGTTCGCCCAACCGTCTGTCCCTTCGTCCGTCGCACTAGATCCTCTCGACCGCTTCCAACGTGTCGGTCGAGGCCAGTTCTTCCTTTACGACGCGATGCTCCACAACGATTGGGTCGACTGGTGGCTACAGACTGACTACGGATCTCGGAGCAAGATCAACTGGGACTCGCAGCATAGCCGGTCGAAGGTCTGGAAGGATTTTGACCAAGTGGCGCATACCAGTTCTGGCACTGCAAAGGTGATGTGTAAGAGCTGCGGTATGATCCTTGAGCACCCTTACGCTACTAAGAGCTCGAAGGAGGGAGTTAGATCTGGGAAGGATAATCGTCATGGTACGACCACGATGATTCGACATGTGACTACTACTGCGTGTCAAATGGCCACAAGTGGACGCCGGCAAAGAGATAGAATGACGAAGTTTCTTCAATCGGTATGTAAATACATATCATTCTTCAAGAATCAACCCTACTAACTAGTGATTTCTTTAAACTAGAGCGGTCTAGCGGAAGAACCTTTCTCGCAAGAGTCCTGGGATAGTGAAGTCCTCCGATTCATTACCATTAACCGGCTTCCGTTCAATCTCGTCGAGAATCCAACCTTCCGTCGCCTCATTGCGAGAGCCCAATCTGCCCCAAGCCCTCCGAAAGTTCCTTCCGCTGATACAGTTCGACGTCGCCTATCTGCTCGTGTCAAAGATCGACAACAAGATACACTTAGGATGTTGCCAGAACATGCAAAGATCTCGGTTGCGTTGGACTGTTGGACATCTCCGTTTGGGCAGGCATTTATGGCTATCACTGGCTATTTTATCGACGTCGACTGGATCTACCGTGAGGTGCTACTCGGGTTCAAACCCCTTCAAGGGACGCATTCGGGTGCGAATCTGAGTGCTGTTCTTCTAGAGACGCTCACTGAGTATAGAATTCAGGATCGAATCTTTGGATTAACCGCTGATAACGCATCGAATAACAAGACTCTGGTTGATACGCTTCAACAGTCTTTGTCTTTGTATGGCGATGTCAATGTTATCAGAATACCCTGTCTTGCTCATGTTATCCAATTAAGTTTGAACCAGTTGCTTGATCGTTTGAAAGCAGTCCCACTAAACGATACTACCGAGACGGTATGGACAGACCGCCAAGTCACCCTCGCAAGGGCGAATGCACAATCTCGGGATATATCGCATACCTTAAATAAGGTACGGTATCTTGCTCATTATATCCGCGCGAGTTCTCAGCGGAGAGATTCATTCATCGATCTTCAGCCTCTAGGGCAAGGGCTTATGCCGATCCAGGATGTCAGAACTCGATGGAATTCAACGTTTCTAATGCTACGCCGGGCAAAGAGACTCCGCGTTTTCATCGTCAAGTACTGTGATCAGTTCAATTGTAAAGACTTCGCACTTGATGACGACCAATGGCGTCAGATTGACTACCTTCTTCATCTGACAAAGCCATTCTTTGATTTTACCCTTGCCCTTTCAAAGAGCCGAGAGGTAACATCCCATCTTGTCTTTATGATCTACAATAGACTCTTTGAGCATCTTGAGAAATCAATGACGCAGCTACGGCGAAAGAGGGTCCTTTGGAAACAGCAGATGCTCAGCTCTCTCGAAGCTAGCCATGCTAAATTGCGTGACTACTATAAAGAGACTGATAAGATCCGTGGGCATATCTATGCGGTCTGTACGATGCTATCGCCAGATAGTAGATTCCAGTTCTTTCTTTCTGATGACTGGACGGATGCCAAAGAACTCCGTGATCAGTATCGAGTGGCCTTCCGAGATGCACTTACCCCTATCCAGGAGCGTCTCACTGCTACGAAGGGCCCACAAGAGTCCTCCTGTGGATCGACACCAAGATCAATGCTTCATAACCTGGCTCGGAAACAGAAGCCTCGCTCTAAAGTAACGCCAGGCCCAGTTATAGTTGATGAGATGACGCAGTATCTCGACGGCAGTAAGTTCATCCCTATATTCATCCCTATGGCCATCCCTATGTTCATCTCCACAGCCATCCCCATGTTTATAATACTAATTTCATATAGATGTGACTGATTCAGAGCCGCTATCCTTTTGGAGAGAGAATCAATTCCGTTTCCCAGCTATTGCTGCACTTGCAAAGGATGTCCTTGCAATCCCAGCAACGGGCGCGGGGGTGGAACGTCTATTCAACACTGCAAGAGATATCTGTCACTATCGCCGCGGTCAGCTCAATTCTGATACTATTGAAGAGCTAATGCTCTTCCTCTGTACATCAAGGTTTGACCTTGATTTACAGGAAGCAAAGGAGGTAGCAGAAGATCTCTCATCTGATGAGATTGATGCATTAAAAGAAGTTGAACAAAGTGATGACCCTGAGAAGCCGAATGATGTCGAAGTTGAAGAGATTAGTGACACTGAAGAACATGGTGATGGACCTGGTTCTGGGGATCTGATAGATGTTGACGATGACGATAATGATGCTACGATCACTCCGTCTGTGATGCCGTCTGTGATACCGTCTCAGGTGCGGACATCGGGGAGGAAGAGGAAGCATGTTGATGATGAACTGTATCAACGTTATTAGATTAGTATATAGATAGTTTAATCAATAGATTTATCAGTTGATATCATCAATCTCATTAATCAGTCAATTCCGTGAATTCCCATGAGAACTCAGTCAATTGGGGGCCTCAGACGGTAATTAGAATACTCAAAAATACTAGGAAATTCTACATAACTTATGCAAATGCCAAGAATTGGCATGTTTGCACTGTTTGGGGCCCAATGGGCCCCCCCAAAAGCCTTATGGGCCCTTACTATAGGCCCACGGCCCACCAGTGGGCCCGAGAACCGGCCCAAACCCAACCCATTTGGGGGTTGGGCTGGGCTGGGCTTTGGGCTTTTTGGGCTCTGCGGAAGTCTACTCCTGGCGACGCGCGGGGACATTCTGTTTGCTGGCACGTATCAACCTGACCGAAATGCTATCATGACTTTCCGCGACATCGTGGATGAGATGCGACTGTGTCCTTGCGCAAGGGACATCGCAGATGCCAGACGATCGTCCGGTAATTCAGTACCGTGTGTTTATCCACCGGGAGTGTCTATATAGCAAATCGTGGCCTTGAGCCAACATAACACATAGAGAATTAGAACATATAATTAATACCAATCTATAGAGTAAAGTATAAGAATTTCAAAACTGTAATTTAATTATCTTTATCTCTTCTGGTTGTTGAGTTATTTGTGTTCTAAATTGGCCTGTTTTCATCGATTCTGAATCGGAGTTGGGTGGGACGTGGGAAGGACCGCCTTCCCGAAGTAGTTATTTTCGCGGATTTAACTTTACGCTAAGTCTAATTAGTCCACATTTTTAGGGGTTTAGACCCCTAACGGTATTCAAATTGTCAGTCAGCCCATTTCCACCGAAGCCATTGAAAACCATTTTTGTTCAATAACCTCAACGAAACTGTCAACCTTAAGAATCTCGCGGAAAACCCCATAATCCCGGGCTAGTTGAGCGAGATTGGGCTTGGTAGATGCATGGTATGCTTTGACGGCTTCTTGGATCCGATCCTCGATATTTTCGGTTGAAATTGACATCGTGGTATAGTATAAAAATGTATGGGAAGTTGATACAATTGTGAAAATTGGCTATCTGCTGAAAAATGGCTATCTAGTGGGGCGCACCAATACACGACGGTGTGTTGGGCGCTTGGCACGGTTACACGTACATATCATCATATAAAAATCTCTGGAAATCCGCGTCCATCGTGTGCGCGTCGGTACTTATTCCGGTTTATCTCATGAGTCAGGTACGACATCATATTACAGACAATGTACTGTGACAGTACATTACTGCATTACGGAGATACCTTGATCCGCCAGATCCAAATATGGCGACAAGCTCTCGGCTCGGAAATAGAGTTATTCCGGCCCCAAAATTAGAAAGTAATGGGACACACCTTTAGTGCCCAATTTAAAATAGCATTGGGTCCTGGAGACCACGTCAGGGGTAAAGCTTTATAAACTTGATCTCCTCCTCTAAGATCAGATATCACATCCGCTCTCATGGCGCCTCTGATAAACAGGATTACCAACGCACTTGCCGATGCCACAGCGCTCGAAAGGCTTCTGCCTGAAATTTTATCATCGGACTCTCCGGACGGTTATCTAGGGAACGCATTCGTCCGAGCAGCAGCGGCTGGATACATTGAGAGTTATAAGCTTACCGCTAGCGAAGTTTTCAAACATCCCGAAAGGAATTGTGAAAAAATCGAACGAGCAATAACTTGTGCTATCCAACAACATCAGGATTGGATAGCGAACGATCTACTACATCGTATTTTGTCTTCCCTTCGTGGCCTCGATCGCGAGAATATTTTGCATTTCGCATTGATGTCAGCGGCTCGAGAAAACAACATCATCATTTCGAAACATATCCTCAAGGAAGAATTCTCAATCCGATTTTATGATGCACCACTCACTATCGCGTGTGGCGCAGATAGACCGGAGCTCGTGTCTCTTATGGTAGAATCCCTCATGAAAAACAAGAGTGAGGATGCGAGCACAGCCGCTATTATCCTCCGTGTTGATGAAGGCAATCGAGCAGTGCTCAACTCGGTCAAAAAAAATCGTGGGAGAGTTCTCGAAAGTGCTCTAGAGCAATCGACTAAAAGAAAGTTTCATTCAACGATTGCAGTTCTTTTGGTTCCATACTTGGAGTGTGTTATGCATTACAGTTTACGTCGTGACCATGACACTGCGCGCAAAATTCTGAAGCAGATTGACAATGAAGACTACGCCCACATTTCTCGCGAGTCAAGTATAAGCTTGCTTTCCACAAACATCCCGTCTGAGGCAAAAAGGTCTATTTTACGTCGCCTTGAGCCGAATTTGGATAATGAGCCAAAAGATATCTGTTTATCCGTGGAAGAGCAACATCTTTGGGCGCACAAGGACGTTCTCTCTTTTTGGTCGCCATACTTCACCGCGTTATTTCATGGCGAATGGGCTGATCGAGATCATGTTAGCTTTGATAAGGACATCATATCAGCTGCAGCTCTGAAGTATGTTGTTGACTTTGCATACAGCGGGGAATTCGTCAACCGAGGTTTGGACGTTTCCCCCGAAGAAAAGATTCATCAACTTGAGGATCTTCAAGCCGCCGCTGATTATCTCAATATCGACGCTTTGAAGAAACAAATCGAAGAGTGTTTAGGGTTGGAGTGACGGAGTGACGGAGACAGACAAAGCAACGAACATTGTATTCCTTGATCACAAGAATGGTCTCTCTAAATTGTCATCTTAATTTTTGCGCCGTCCTTTGAATAAAACGTGTAGCGATCATCAGTTTTCCACAATTGTGGAAGCTTGTTTCTGTTGAAGATAATTTGATCCTTACATTATTTACAAATAAGTCAGTCCTTGTCCATGTTTCGAGCGTTGCGTAAGAGGCGGAGCTAGGGTGGGTCTCAGCTTCACTCTAGAGCAAAGAACAAGCTCTCGAGCTCTTCCCTTTTCCGTTGATTCGTTTATCTTTTTCAGCTTTGGAATACCAGATGCATCACCTCCATTAGTTGTTAATCCATTCAGATGAGACCGCCATGTAGGGTCCATAGCTAGTGTGCAGACAGAATGAAATTGGGATTGGAAATTATCTTATTTCGAGTACTATGAGATGGCCAGTCGGATGAAAATGGGGCCAAGCTTCAAAAAATTTCATATTATATTAACAGCTTTTAATTAAACTACTTGTCATGTGAACTCTGATTGGGAAGGGGGTTGGGGGTACATACTTCAAGAAGTTCTTGTACAGCAAGTGTACTGTAGACAGATCCAGCCAAAACAAAACGCTCAAGTAAGTCAAAGTCAATCGAACATGAGAATAGAGCAGTACTCCTCAATGTCGCGAGTTATCGGCCGCCGAATGCTTTTTTGAAACAGGGGAAATGTTAGTCAGGGGTTGGATGGATAGTCCACGTGCTGCGATGAGTAGCAACTGGCCGGATGATTAACGGAGTGAGAGACCTGCCATCTGCCGAAATGCATTCGATGCTTGTGATCAGGTCCCGGTTAGATCTCTCTCCCCTAGAGCCACCGTAGTCATTCCTTACTAAGATCTTTAAAGAGTGAGGGCCGCTTAGCATGACTCCTGGTTCATCCATATTATGGACATTTACAGTATCAATAGTAGGGTCGAGGAGTTCAGACCCGATCAGCTAGGCCAGTGAACGGAGATACCTTAAGGGCTTTTTCTTCTGGGTCAGTAAGATGAGGTTAATTTACTGCTTTCTGTTCCCTATCCCATAGGGGTAAATTCAATGGGGGCTCATTGAATTTAGGGTTTTGTTGTTAACTATGGTAGAAAAAAGTGGGTCCAGGGCTCATTGAATTTAAATTTCAAACCCCCATTGAATTTAGGAAAACGGGGCCGTAGAAATCCCAGAATTTAGTATGTTTTAAATCATAGTTAGATTTATTAGATAGCCAAATTTCAACCCGATCAGAATATATTTAGAATGGGTTTTGCCCGTTGGAAAATTGGTAGATTTTTTGATGGGGTAACCGCCACCCGCCCGTCACGACCAGTTATCACCACCATCCCAGTCAACCATTAACCATTAACAGTATAATTAGTGTAGTATTATATTGATTTATTTTTATTTCAGATTTCAGGGGTCGATTCCCAGATTTCCCAACATCATCCCATATTATTGTCAAGCCCATTCGAGCGACATTAGAATTGTGCCATTCCCCCGATATCCCATACCACCCGTTATATATATTCACACATCCAATATGGACCGAGAATCCCAGGCACATCAGTTGTTTTGCGTTAATGCCCAGTTCCGGGTGTTGATTTGCCAGAAATGTCAATACGCCGTACGGCAGGACCATGTCAAGACCCATTTAAGTAGTACCATGCATCGTATCCCCAGTCCACACGCAGAGTATATCCAGAACATCGTCCAGCAGTGGGACGGGATTGATGAGGAGCCCGAGGTGTCCCGTTGGCCCCACCAGATAGAGGAACCCATCCCCGAGTTACCCGTGTATGAGGATGGGATATTGTGCCGGAAATGCGAGGTGTACACATGCCGCCAGATCCGTACCATGAAGGCGCATTGGATCGAGACGCATCATTATCGGGTGCAGCAAGGCCGCGGCCGTCCCGCACCCACACAGGCACAACGCATCCAGGCCACCATCAGCGCCAATATTCGGCCCGTGTTATGCCAGCGGATATTCACCCAAGGGCCCGGGTCCCATTACATCCATATCGCGCAGCCAAATCCCAATGAACCCCCCGAGGACCCCGTTGAAGATCCCGACCGTATTCACCGGTTGATGCAAACGATTGAGGAGTATCAACAGCAAGACCAACAGGCCCATGAAACCATCGTGCAGGCAGGGGATTTAGATGAAGCCACGCCATGGTTGAATCGGACGGGATGGGTGCGGTATTTGCAAGGGACCCCCGGAAGCCATTGTTCGAGAGTATCCAGCGCCCCGAGGAGGACGCCGAGGGACCGGAGCGCGCCGCATTAGCCATTTGGGAGGCCATGGAGCGATTAGCATCGGTGAGCCAGGAGATCGCCAAGGCGTGTGGGCATTTGGTGCGCATTGACGTGGTCCGTACCATGAAGGATGAGAGCCCGCATAAGCCATTGTTAGCATATTTAGATGCCACCGCCATCCAAAAGCACGTGGCACCATGGCAGCAGATTATGATGTTTTTTGCACGAACGCAGGTATGATCACGTCCATCCCAGCGATGCACCATTCCATATTCCCATGGGCCATATTCCGTCGCACAGGCCCACCCCATACCCCATGCCCATTCCCATGATGCCCGGTATATACCATAGGACACCACGATTCATTGACCATTCCAGATTGAACATGATTGGCCATCGCCCCAGTATTCGTTCACCAGCCGCCAGCAGCAGTTGTGGGACGCCGTGTGGCATCATGCCCACACCCGTGCCAGTAGTCCCGACCCCGACGACGACGAACCGGAGCCATTTGAGATTCGTCCTATTGAACATGCATTGTTGAATTTTTGTATCGATTTATTACGCCAGAAGATCCGCAACGATGAGTATGGGTGTGCCATGATTTGCGCCACCGCCGTGATTGGATGCGGGCAGTTTGGTTGGGCCACGCCCGAGAATTTCCCCCACGGATATCCAGTTTGATCAAGATCACGCGGTTTTTGATTTTGCACAAAGCATTGCGGTTGGACCCACGGTCATTGGAGATCCGCCGAGGATTGGCCGGGCAGCAGACCCAGTCACGGTTCGAAGGTGATATGATCGGCATCGATGCGGCATACGCGTACGACGATGAAGGATATGGAAGTGCACCCCCGTCCCCGGTGGCCGTGCACCGTTCGCCCCCCGCCAGTGATGATCGGTTGGGACCATTGACCCAGGAGCAGCGCCAGCATCCCGGCCGCACGTTTCCCGAATGGGTCCATTATTTGGTGGATTTATTCATGGTGCGTGGGACCAATGGCCCCGTGCAGTGGTGGTTGGATTTACGCACGTACGGGCGGACCATATTCATGAACACCCCCAGCGAGGGCCACATCGGATGGAAGTCCGGCGATGAATTGTTGTACAAGCAGATTCATTTCACCATGGGTGATTTCCGAGGGTTTGTGCATGGGTTGGTGGGCCGGATCCGGCAGCAGTTGGTGCACGAGTTGATGTGTTGCGGTGCCCAGGCGCCCCCGGCCATCCCATGGGACCATTTATACGACGATGCCACCCAGAGCGCGGCCGGGTGGAGTTTTTTGCAGGATTTGCGCACGCCGTGGCCCGTCCCAGGCCGCGAGTGGTTCATCCAGCGCGTTGGTGCCGAGCCGGCATTACGGCGTCGATTTATGCAGTCCCTATAACTATTCCACGTTGAATAACAGCGTGATTCTCAAACCCTACATAGTTAAGAGTGCGGGAGCTAGGCAGAAAACCGACTAGCGCACGCTGTTATTCAGGAAAACCAACAGCGTTATTCAGAATCCCTCTACTAACCTTTCCAGTCGCTACTTTCGAATTTTGAGAAATCACAATGAATCACTACGAATTAAATTATATTCCTGCCAAATTACAGTTCTCTAGCGCCGGTGGTTGTGATGTAGTGGAAAATTATTGTTTCCGACCGTACAATTGTAGTCTTCCGACAAACTCACCATGAAAATATATATTGCACAAGGGAAGCATAGGGAAATCATAACACTCAGAATCCACCTTTATAATCCACTTACTACTCACCATTACCAAGCCTTCTCCACGATATTGATCTTCAGAAGGTATCACGGTAAGTCCAAGGTACTAGGATATCGAGCGTCGTAGGACTTATAACGCTGGGTGTTGCCTTTATTCATAGCTCACAGCAGTTGACTGCAGTATCCTATATAACAGAAAGAAGTAAGGGGCATAACATTGGAAGTCGTACACATTTGTCTTGGTTAGATCCCTTCGGCTTCATTGAGTTTATACCCACCCAGCCAGTCGGGGATTTTGAAAACAGCAGGATCTTCTCCTCTACCCACTTATGCAGCCTTTCATCAATAGCTGCATCGTCCGGCTCCTAGTTATCCTGGAGTCGCTTGATAATCCGCCGGCGCGTCCCTTCTAGCCCGAGAATATGCGTAACGGATAGACTTGAGTCGCCGGGCGCCATTAGAGTATTTTTTTTGTAGAAGGTGGAGAAGATGTGGAGAGCTTTAACAAGACATAATCAATGAGAAACCACTGGTGCAAAGGAAAGACCCGGGGACGAGAGGAAAGAGCGACAAGGACAAGGGGAAAGGAACTGGCGAATGACAAGAGTGCAGCAGACAGATATCATGGTGAAGGAGCAATACGGGAAGAGCCAGAAGGTCGCAATAGCAGAAGTGAAGGGGCAGTTGATGCATTATGCCAGGATGATCCTTGCAAGGCAAGAGTACGAGAGACGCACTGTGTAGCGTGTTACGAAGACAAAACGCACACGAGACAAAACGCACACAAAAGACGACAGAAGCACGTGAACAGGAATCCAACCAAACACCAATGAGGCAGAGGCTTGGCGCTAAAGTTGGCTGTGTGTGTCGCTGTGTTGTTGGCAGCGTTAAGAAGCCGGGGTCGCGCAGGCGCGCGGTTTGTAACCCCTTTCACTCCGTTCCTTCGTTTCAGGGTAAATGAAATCTATTAATACTAGTTAGTACTACTGCTGTACCAAGATGAGACTCGTGGCGCAAATGTCTTAGGACAGACGGGGATGTGTTTCCCTTGTAAGCTCCTAATATGAAAATAATTGTCTGCCTCTGCCTGGATGATATACTGCTTGTCCGCCGTGGTAGCCTTAATTATCATAGCGTATCCGTGTAATAGATGAGTAGCTTCAATAAGGTAACCCGTCCGACCACAGACTCAAATATAATGGATTCTTGCTAAAATTGGCACGTGGCTTCGTCTACATAAAATCAGTGGGTCCCCCGTTGTTGCTTCCAATTTTACATTCTATACTGAGAGAGAGTTCGATTAGAGTAGTGGCTTAGGCGGCCATGGAAGACACTTGTCTGACTGAGCCATGCTGGAACCGTGAGGGGTACGATATTTGAGTAGTGAGACTCGTTTGTCTCTCATAGGGAATAAGGAAGTTGACGTGAGCTCACGTCTCTTCGAAGCTTGCTGGGTTTGAGGATTTGGTTTATTACGTGTATCAGACCAAAACTTGCGGCCTAAATGCATGCCTGCCCACCCCCGCTTCTGTCAAACTGTAATTGATCAGTGTTAATTTTATTTGCTAAGTCGCGTTCTCCGCGGCACGACGTATCACAAAATGTTCTAATGAACCGGCACCTTGGCCTTTACAAATAGGGTTTCTGCAGGTGCCGTGCTAGAGACTTTCCCTAGAATGCATGCATGACCACCGATGAAGTCGTCGAAGCAAGCCAGGTTTCGTGGCTTGAAGACATAGGGCTTTCTAAAGGTGACCTGTCACACTAAGCTATGGGCTAGAGAAGATCCTTTCTGATGCATCTGGATATGCAATACTCATGCATTAGGTTTAGTCCCGTATATTCATAGTGCACCGTGACTCACGACGCCACTCCTGGTATTTATTGTACCCAAGCTACCAAAAACCCACTCCAGTCCAGTCTCATCCTCGAAATGTCAACACCTGGCGCAGGTTCTTCCAGTCACCGTTGGTCACCCTTTCCGTAGCCTGATAGTGAGGCTAATAAACCCTCTGTGCAAGCATACCACCAGTTTCAAATACCCAGTAATACACCATTAGAGCTACGACCCTCGCCCGGCAAAGGATGGGGTGCTTTCGCCACAAGACACATTGAGCGAGGATCTTGAATTTTGAGCGAAAAGCCACTCTTCATTATCCCAAGGCCGCATACCGACATCATGGAAGAGCACGTCGCAATGTCCTTTCAGAGATTGCTACCCAGTCAGAAAGCAGAATTCCTACTCCTTCGGGACAATGGGTCGAGGCTTTTTAGAAGCTTGAATGCAGCCTTCGCCGAGAACTCTTTTGGCATCGTAACGTCAGACCCCAACAAGCTTCCAGCTCATGGCTTATTTCCTCTTCACTCCCGCCTCAACCATTCTTGTACACCAAATTCAAAAATCCCCACTACTAGCGGGGAGATTATTTCAGCTTTTGCGACTCGAGACATAGACGTCGGTGAAGAGGTCACCTTTTGTTATAACACAGATTTCGAATGCAGAACCAGATATGAACGTCACGAAGCCTTGGGCTTTGCGTGCAATTGCATGGCCTGTCTCGCCGGCACTCCTTTCCAACGACTCAGCGACATGCGACGGCAACTAATTCGAGGGTTACAATATCTTACTCTTGGCGTCGACATGGATGGGCAAAGACAGAGTCTGCGTTCTTCGATGATAGTCGACTCTAGACTGAGGATTGCAGCGGAAACTTTTAATATACCCATTTCCTCTAGGATGATCTACATTCTCCTAACAATCTTTTTGATCGAAGAAGAGGGCTTGTTGGATGATTTTATGATCGAAAGGCTAAAACCGAGCTTAATCAGAACGGTCAGCTTGTTCAAGTCAAATAGCAATTATAGTATTGCTAGGCTCGCTCTGAGCCAGGAAAGCTGGCTGAAAAGATTGCTTGTGGGATTCCAGCTGTTTGGGCGAAAAGATGCTGCCGATCTTGAGGTGACCCTAGCGTTACGACAACTACGCCAAATTTATTGATACAAGCTGATGCGAGGCATGTCTATACGTTCTTGTTTATTGAGATGAGCGCCTGAGCCCGATTTGCTATTCCTGCGTGCTCATTGCCCAAGAGCTTGTTACGTGAAACTACACGCTTATTTTCAGTACAATGAGAGACAACTTTACCTGTCACCTAAGGGGTCTTGATATCTTAAACGTTCGGTTTGCTAGTATAAGCTTTAAGTTCATAGAGAGCACAGTTCTCGATATAGATTAATGATGCCAGTGTACTGGAACGAAGAAATAAACTGCGATCCAATTCTTTAGGGCCTGTTGTGATGAGGGCGGGGTAGTTCAGGGACACAGCTGCACCACCGAGAATAATCCCCGCGGTATTTGTAGAAATAGACAGGTTGATTTCCGATCAAAACGATTGACGGAACCCATCAGATTGCGCGTGGCCCCTATCCGTCTTACCAGCCCAACCTTACTCAGGTTGGGTCTGTTCCACTAAACAGAAATTTCCCAGAAAACAGAAATTGTGAAAATTAGGTATCTTTTATATAGCATGTTCATACAAAAGGTACATACACCCAACACTTTCTTTTCTCTCAACGCTCCCACTAGCTAAATGGTAAATAAGAGTATTAATAAATAATAGAAGTCTGGTTTAATTGATTTGCTACTAAGGTCAATTTTGGATATCTAATGTGGAGGAATAGAGACTAGATTTAAAAAACACTTATGTAACATAAGAAATGTAACGTATTTCACAAGCGAGTGGGTGGCCACCCCAACCAAAACGCGTCAGTTAATTTAAACCCTGCTTCTTCAACCACCCACCATGCCACCAATTCGCTCTCAATCCTCTAGAAATTCAATAGAGCAAGAGGGTAGGCTTTTGTTAGCTATACAGGCTTTTAAAAATGGAGATATCAGCTCTATTTCTCTTGCTGCGCGTACCTTGAACGTCCCCGTAGTTCTCCGCAACCGAATTAATGGAATGCAACACCGCGCGATTTCTCGTGCCAATTCATATAAATTGACTGCAACTAAAGAGGAATCACTTCAAAAATGGATACTCTCTATAGATTCTCGTGGATCAGCGCCCCGGCCTTCTATGGTTCGAGAGATGGCCAATCTTCTTCTTCAATAACGTGGAACCACCCCGGTTACTTCGGTCGGCGAAAATTGGGTTACGAAGAGTACTGGTTTTGGAACATATATCACAGTCCCAGATATCTCAATGAGCCTGTTGTGCTGTAAAGGTGCGTCAAAGTTACCAATATCTTGCGGACTTGAACTCGCTGGGCAAAGATCAGGTAGGGCGCAGGAGGAATTTAGCCAATCATATTTTCTGGACACTGGGTTTCTCCTATCATCAATTTTCTGGACATGAGATACAGCCAATGGTAAGCGGTCGTAGCGCAAATGCCAGCCCTGCCTTGATTGATAGATCTAATTCCCATTTTTATAATAGTTCTTGTGAGCCCCGTGGTGATCCCGGACTTCGTGTTGGGATCTGCGGGCCAGCATAAATAATAGATTGGTATTCCGTGGTATCTTCAACAAACAAGGACCCAAGGGATTTTATAACGTAGTAGAAAGTAGTCAAAGGCCCAACGATTTCCTATCAAGTTTTTAACCTAAAATTTATACTCTCGTTCTTCTTATCTTGCCACCGTGGAATAATTACGCGACGATCTGACAAGTCACGTTTTGGCCACCAGGAAACTCAATCTAAAAGTTCAGTTGCTGCTTGCCTGAGAAGGAGGGCTGAGATCACATTCTTTTTTGAAGCTGGTCATCTGTAATCATGGACCAGAACCAGCAAAGTGCTTCATATATATCGCGAGAAAAGGTTTTTAGGTGGATCAATGGGCCAACGCTCGAAAACGGCAGGTGCGTTTCTTCAGGTATCCTCAAAATTCTCGCCTTACACATTAGTCGACTTTAAGGGAGGTTCGCAACAACTCGCAAGCCGAGAAATACAAAAGCATGATCGATGAGCTGTTCCGGATGCATGGAAAATTGAAACACCTTGACAATTAAATGTCAAGATCTGAAGATTAACATCGTAAAGTTTTCTCTGACCCATACAAAAGTACGAATCCGCACCTACTTTCTACTTTATGAACCTTGAATCAGGTTGTCCATGGTGTTCGGTACTGGCGTCGAAATATGGATTTGTGCGTAGATTCCAGCAATAATTCTACGATTGGAGAACAAAAGTCAAAGTGCGAGCCTGGGAATTGAAAATTAAAATTCATTCATGAACCTAGACCCTCGTCACGGCCTATCGTGGACAATCGCCATTCCCGTTGTTAAGCTGCCCTCACGACGCACGACTGCGAAACCTCCGTGACGCCTCGGCAAAGCCTAATATAGCTTATACTGTCTTGGCTCGGATATTTTTCTGACTGTCATGCAAAGTACCTTATCATTATGTCGGCACGGTTACTCCGCTGCGACGGTATGAATACGGAACCCGCTACAAGCTGAATGCTTTATGTTGCAAGTTTGAGGGACAGCACCAAGGGACAAAGACCAGCATACTCGAAATTACGTGTACGCTGGATCAAACACAAAGTATAAACTATTTGAAGAAAGAGAACCATTTGCTTGCAATTTCTAATTTCCAACTCTGGTATGGCGAGCGTACTGGTAAAATTCACAATGGTAAAATTCTCTTAACTAACTAAAAATAACAATGGTAAGCGGGGGGTGGGTATGACTCTTTAAGTTCAACGCGAAAAAGGTGAGGATGGGTGGGTTGGGCTTCAGGCAACATCCACCGAAATGCTTTCTTAAGATGGGCAATCGCTTTGATCCCGACTCACACGTGACCAGCGCACTAACCTAAGAAGTATTCCTTGCATAACAACGCGTTACAGGTGGTTGGCAAAGTAGTCCTACAGTTTAACAATCAAAAGCAACTAACGTAAGGCATCTATAATGTGGCAAGAGAGGTATATCTATTATTCGCAGATTTAGTCGCATCATGCCCATATCTAGCTCTAGAATTCATTCCTTGGCGGTACTCTATGGGCGCGATGCCAGAGCGTGGATGCTGAGACATTAATAAATCCTAAGGCTGCTGTGCCTGTGATACGCATGGAAGGATTGGTGTCACCGTGTCAACCCTAAGTTTTTTTTTTCTAAACACTGCGAGATGGAAATCGACCCTGAACAAAGGAGCCAGCGATAGATATTTTAGGATCGGAAGAATAATATTTCCGTGCCGAGAACTGGGTGCCATATTTGGATTTGGTGGATTAAAGGGCTGACTTTGATCGACAAAGAGTATAGAAGGGAGTATAGAAAGAGGCTAAGAAATTTCATGACGTACTACACCCTGTCGCTCCGTGGCCTTATAGTCACTCGTCGGTCGAAGATGTCTGCACTGTGGTGACCGTTAGAAATCCGTCCCAAGGGGATACTTTTTCGTGGGTGATGAGGTTCCGGGGTAGTCACATATGCTAGTAAGAGATATTCTTCGCCGAATAACTCGACGGGGTCCCGGTAGCTCATCGGTGGGGGAAATGTGAAAGTATCGGGCCTCCGCTTCTTAGTTTGACGGGTCGCACTTGACACACTTGTTCCAACACTTTTCCTTGGAGAAACGATAGGGGACAGCACGACAGCTTCCGTTTGGGAATGCGATTCGGGTGTGCTGCCGGGCAGAGAACCGGCTGTGACCAGCCGTTCTGAAACAATAGTAGGCTGTGATATTTGCTTCCCTCTTCGTGGTCTGCGTGGCTTTCTGTCCACCAAGAGCGAATTTTTCCCGTCGCCATAGCGGCCTTCTTCGAAATTCCGTTCGGAAGGGAGAGTCCAACTGGCGGCGGGCACATACGACTTTTGAAGCATCAGTCGTTCATCGTCGTCAAGCTTGAGAAAGGCGTCGACCTTCAAAAGTTGGCCCTCGGGTCGTATGGAAAATATGAAGTGCGCTTCAACTTTATCGTGGTCCGTATCGCCAGGGAAGAGTTGCTCGTGCGGAATTGGAGCCTCGATGCGACCCAAAAACTGTACCTTGGAGCCCACGGGCTGGAACGGATACGTGATATCCCATTTCCAGTCGATCTCATCGTCGTTCTTCCGAATTTTGCTCCGAGAGAAACCATCCTCGGTCGTGTATACGTCGGTCGATCATTGCCAACTCGGAAAACTGTTTTGACGAGTTCGATATAACTCTCACTTTCCTTGTTACTATCGGCACCCATAGCACCATGACCGAAACGTCCGGCGGGCTGGCCCTATGAATGTTCAGCTCATGTCAGAGGCAACGACCTCGGATAACAAGGGATTTCAGGCATACCTGTACTATCACCCATGCGATACCCCTTTTGACTTCATCTCCTACCATTACCTCACCTGAAGGCAGGCGGTCGTCCCAATAAGTAAAACCAATATCATTGCTGGCCACGGAAACTTCTATGAGGGGATTTTGAGCATATATCAAAGCTCCCATTGCCACCACTCCCACCCTGCAGCCGTTAGATAAGGGATGCCTTCGCTTCAACTGAGCGATTATTTGCTTACTCCTCAATCGATATACAATTAACGTTGTGGGTCATTTGAATCCGATCAATAACAGTTTTGGAGAACCAACGGTTTTGCATAGGTCCTCCACAAAGGACGACGTGGTCAGGGGGCGACCCGCAACTGCAGCGCTTTGATACTGAGCCTTACAGAGCTCTTCGATCTTGGAAATCAGGGGTTCGAAAAAGCTTTCCATGACGGCTCTAGACAAAACTGTTAGTAAAAATCACCACCAGTATGTACACATATCATGCGGTAGAAACGCGTGAAAAGCGAGAGGGTGAGAAAACAAGATGGTTGAAACTGACGGCTCCAAAGTGGTAGTCCTGTTGTCGGAGATTTCCAATCTCAGCGATACTCCTTTCCCAAAGGCCCCTTTGCATCGATCGAACCGGGGGAAACTTTTGTGGACCATTTGTGATCATCTTTCAAATTTTGTTCATCACCAAAAAGTCCCAGTAAATAGGCGCGGGCTGTATCGTTGACCGTTTCCCCGCCGCTGGGAAACCCTGCGGTGCGTCAGAAAGGAAATTGTCCATATGGTGGAGCCGAAATCGTACCATCGGTCGGGCAAACCTGCCTGATTCCTCCGTCGCTCCGTCGTTCGACGGTTGCGAGATCCTAAGCGTAGCGTCAGTATTGGCATCGCTCCATTGAAATCTGTAGAACACACAAACGTGCCACCACCACAGTCAATGATCAAGAACGTTTCGTTGCAAGAGATGATTGGCTGCGGTTGGAGCACAATATAGTGAGCGGCGGCCAGGGGTTCTGAAACACCATTCACACGATGAAATCCTGCTGCCAAGGCTGCCTCAACGAGCACAATTTTAAGTGATCCATTCTGCCGCACAGGATAGGTGACCGAGCATGACTTTTCGAGGTCGCGGAAAGTCCGACCACCATAGTAATGTTGATTTTCTGGCTGGTCGAAGAGCCGCTTCAGAGTTGCTAGAATATGCGAAAAGAGCTTCTGGAATAGAGTCACAGGCGTTTCTTTTACGCCATATTTCTTAGCCGCAGCGCGAAAAGATCCCTTCAGCAAGCTCAAGTAAGGCTCGTGTCCGATAATGCCAAGTTTGATGTTGGAAAAGGCGATGGCGTCATCAAGAACTTTCACATCTGGGCCATAATGCCAGCCTGACGGCGCGTAGCCAAGCACTGCATCGAGCTCTTCGACCTTTTTTTGAGCGTAAAGAGAGGAAGAGAATTTTAGTAGCTGTACTTTTGGGCTTCCGGGGAACGTAAAGCTGACGGCTAGCTTGCTCGTCCCAAGATCCACGCCCACTTTTACTTCATTCCTCCACTTCTCATGCTCATCCATATTGATTTGGACGTGGTTTTGTTTTGGGACGTGTGTCCAGGGGTAACCGACGGAATCGTAGGCCAGCGTACTCACGTGACACTGCTTTACCGCGACCCACGAGTAAAGACACATCCTCAACTTTGTGACCGTCGACAGATCACACACATGTGAACTCGGCTCAGGTCCTTCTGGATCTTACAACGACAATTAAATGAGCCATCTTGTCCTTATGTTTTGGCTACGGGACTGCCTGGAATCTACTGTTAAAGCTACCTAGGGGTGGTTTTCGATGAGGCTGTGATCTAGAAATGAATGTCGGGAGGATCCTCGTTCGAGCAACCGGCATTGATCATCGCATCTCCGTCATAACAGTACTCCTATTGTAATTGAAGTCAGTGGATACACATGCAAACTGCATGAACACGTAATGGAATAATGATTTTCCGCGGGGATTCACGGCGACATTGGGTCACGTGTTGCCAGGATATTGCAAATAAATCAGAAAACAGGTTCGTGACTTTATATAGTCTGGCGGCTACCAAATGCTTTTGGCTCGCAATCGATACTGAAGATGCTTCTGGAAAAAGCGGTGGTCAGCTAAGACAAACCTGCGGATTTCCGTCGGCAGCCGAACCGCAAGTTCAGCAATTATGCAAATTATACAATGCCAGCGCGCACTTGGACAGGGGCCTGGTTCCTATTAGATTTGCGCACGTACGCTCAAAGCAGATGCCATCCCAGAGGCCGACCTAATGCCAGCGCCGGAGGTCAGCGATTAGCTCATTGATCAGATCGAACAGGCGTTCACGGAGAACAAATAGATTGACGCAGTTGATAGAGACCAATCCGTGGCGTTGACGGACCTAGTGGGTTCTCTTATCTCCGATGGCATCAACCCAGAGCACCTTGTTGACTGCATGAAACCCCCTGACTTCGAATCGCTAGATCGCTAGATCCTACAGAGAAAGACGCCTACATGATTTGGGATGCAATGGCTTCCGTGGCACGTATTAGCTAGTTGATTGTACGAAAACAACTCACGCTATTCGCACCGAGGCTGTCCGCACTGAGCGTGACTGATTGCTACATCAGCCACTGCAGGCTTACATGGATGCTGATAGCATTGAGGGGGGGTATACAGTCCCGTAGCAGCAAAATTTGATGCTTTTCACCCGTACCTAGGTTACGCATGGATGGGCCAGCATGAATTACCGGTTCTTAAAAGCCAGCTTGTTGCATGGCATAAGCTCTAGATGAGGATGTACCCCGAGTCTAATTTACCTTGGTTTAAGCAATGACTTAAGAGGGTCTACCGACGCTTACTTATGAATCGCAAGTAAATTGAGAACCAAACAGAAGCATACCGCAAATCAATTTCAACTTGCACCATTTGATTCAGGTTCTCTCGGGTTTTGCGTCAAGTTCGTCAATCATCGCATCAACGTCAAGAGGGCTACGAAAGCACGCTTGTTGTACTACAGCGGTGCTCGGTCGGGGTGAGACGGATTGGCGTATAACGGACAGCTACCCACCAGAGTTATCAAAAATGACTAACAAGGCTCGATTTGTGGTGGTTTACAAAGCTTTAGAGCTTGATCCTACGGCGGAGCACATGATCCAGTGGCAAACGGATCAACAAATGACAGACCAATGACATATGGAGTCTGCTTGATTCGCCACGCATAATGACTTTTACAGTTCCCTACAGCTATCATGGATTGAAGATAGCACTTTCAATGTTCCCATTCGCCTACAGTATGCAGGCGTAGTCCTCTAATGCTCGTGACTCTAATACGGAAATCAGTGTGGTTAGCAACGGCCACTCCCTGGTCGCCGCTGTTCTCGGTCACCCAGCCAGTCCTAGTCCTAGTCGAGTGTAGAGGATCAATAAGGAATTGCACATGACACGAAGAATGAAAAGATGCTGACACATATCCGCACTATCTAAGCACCTGCGGGCATTCATTTAGCCATTAACTGGCCCGGCAATGCAGCGACACTGAATCGGCTAATCCTACATATTAGAAGCTAATTTGGTAAGAGATAACGCATGAACCGGAGAATCGAAAAGAAATTGTGCTTTTCCTGCTTGTGGCTCATGTGCCAACTCTGAAAGATTACGCCGGAACAAGAAGGGTCGGGACGCTATCAATGATACCTGAGAACATCGCTGGCCTTCTTGCCCTTCTAAACAGTATTTGCAGGCGCCTGCGGCGATTCTATATTCGTCAACAGTGTGTCAAGCGCGGACGAGATCCATGTCCGTATCACCCGCAGACGAAGTATCCTGCATCGACGCCCGAACGATGTCTAGCCTAGACTCCGGCTCGACGTTTCGGTAACTGAGTCGATTACGTCGACGTATAGTGCCTGACTGGCGGCGAATACCATTGGCTAACTCTTCTTCTTCGTCTCCACTGTCACTAAGCTCGCCGGCCTTTTCCATGCATTTATCGAATCGTCGTTGAGTAAATCGCTTGTCTTTGTTTTCGTCCTCGTCAAGGTCATCCATAAAGTCATCGGCCTCGTCATCCATGCCATCCAAAATGGGATTCCGTGGTATACCTGTCATCTGTACCGAAGGAGCAAAGGTCGTGTGCTTGAGATTTTCCATGGCCTTGTTACAAACCTTGGCAAGATATTCTTTGGTGTTGGCGTTGTCCATGTTGGAAGGACGGACATCGAGTTCATAGTCAGGAGCAAAGTACTAAGCCCCGTTAGCTTCATATCCTTATCAAGAAGAGATTGTCTTACCTCATAGTAGTCATTGTAAGGTAGATCCGATCCAAGGCTCTCTCCAACGAGAATGCCGGTCTCATAAGCCCAGGCCCGAGCAACGTTGCGCATGGTGTAGCCGCCACCGCCAAGTATCAAGGTCGGTAGATCAAAGCTTTTGATAAAGTTGACGCAATTGGCGTGTCCACGCATACTCAAGTTAAAACAACCCAAACGGTCACCAGACAAGCTGTCACCACCGCACTGCAGAACCACAGCTTCCGGCCGGTACCAATCCATTACACCCTGGATAACGGGCTCAAAGATGCTCTTGTATGAGACGTCATTGATGCCATCACGCAGAGGCAAATTGACTGCATAGTGTTTGCCCTGCCCTACACCGATGTCACGAAGCTCACCGGTGCCGGGGAAGTACTCGCCGTACTTGTGGAATGAAACAGTCATGACACGATCGGTCGTGTAAAAGGCCTCTTCGACACCATCGCCGTGGTGAACATCAATATCGACATAAAGGACTCGTTGCTTGAAGCGTAGAAGCTCAATGATTGCGAGGACAATGTCTGGAAAGTTTTAGTTCAAGAGACAGGACATGCGATGACATTGCTACGGGTAAGGAACCTACCATTCACGTAACAAAAGCCACTCGCTTCACTTTTCTTGGCGTGGTGCAGACCACCAGCCCAGTTGACAGCGACGTCACATTTGTTGCGATTCAGTCGTGCTGCGCCTTCCATGCTGCCTCCAGCACTAATTCCGCAGAACTCGAATAGGCCGTCAAAGACTGGACAGTCGTCACCCACGTTGTATCGGCTCTGTTCTTTCGAGAAGCGATCCATATTGTCTGGTGTAACCTTGGACAAGAAATCAATGTACTCGTCCGTATGGAACTGAGTCATCTCATATTTTGAAGCAGGCTTTGCACGCTGATAAGTCGTACGTCAGCCAATGGCAAAGCGAGAGAAGAAAAGAACTCTCACATATATCTCCATTTTTTTGTAGAGGCCATAGTTCATAACTAAGCTATGCGTCATGCGTATGCGGTGGGGTTTCATAGGGTGGCCCGAGACATAGGCGTAGTTGCCCACATCGGAGTCGTAAAAATAGGCAACTTTCTTGTTCTTAGACCCGAGAAGCTGGTCAGAAATTGGCTCCGCGGCCATGTCACGAGATTACTGAGGGGTAATGAGTACGGTGAGAAGTAGTTTCATGGTACATGAAATTTGGAGAAAGGGGGATGGAGATAGAAATATGCGGTACGCGGTCAGGGGAATTGAAGGCGCAATCCAGAAATACTCTCAGAAATGTAAAAACAGCAGAAGACCCATATCACTAAGTTTCGCAGACTGAAGGCAGGCAACAGGACATATCATGAAAGGGAGCCACTCTGTCCTAGCTGAGGCCTCGAAATTTCGAGACTTGGAGAGAATCGTCGCGTGGGAAGGAGTCGAAATCGACGAAAAAGCACACCGCCTTAGCCGAGCCAAGCTCTTGTTCATACATATGAGTTGATTAATCCCCAGGTCGCGCGATAAAATGTGATGTAATGCTCACTGGGTACATTCATTCCGATATCATGGAAGGATGTACCAATTCGTTCAATAGTCTCTCAGTGATACTGTGCGTCTGTAATGTTTCAAGTGGAAAGGCTGCGACTTAGTCAGCAGAAAGCCCGTCGCCGCATCACATTGCATAGACCGCAAGTAGACCTCAAAATGGTGCGGTTCTGGTTCCAAGGTCTGGAACCGCGCACCAGAACCTCCGGTTCTGCGGTTCTAAGATATAATAACCGCACCGCACCGCGGTTCTACGCGGTTCTGACGCGGTTCGAACCTCATGGAGCCGCGATTGCATAATGTTGCCAAGTTTTTCCTTTTTCGGATGGATAAATTGATGACTCACCTTAATTTTTCTTTGTTGTTAAAAACTGTTTTGGCCAATACATGGCTGAGTGTTGCAATGGAGCAGCATTCCTGACGAGATTTGATGAAATTTGGTTTTATATAGAAATTCCCGCATTGAAACTTGTAGTTTCCCCTACATTTTGTAAATTTCAGGCTCTTAGTGGTTGATTCTGGTCGGAGTAGCCTTTGATGTAATGTGCGGAGTGAGAAATATATATTTTGATCTGACTACTATACCGCTATCTAGCGAGTCTTTTTTTCAGTTTACCTCCGCGGTCGCAAGTTAGAAGCTCTCTTGATAGCTTACTCCCTTGAGACTACCTTCTATTCTTTTTCTACTTTTTACTACTAAAATTCTCTATATCCGCTACAGAAATGTGG